TCATTACTGCACTCATTCTACCAAAACACTGTGCTGAGCTCTGTCCTAGACCTTGTGTTACTCTACAGATGTTACTTGCCCTTCAATTTGCTTCCAGTTGGTTGGATGCACTGGTGATAATGAGCAAACTTCTTTGAGCAGTCTAGACTTACTATTCTTATTTCCAGTTTTAGGTGTTTTTATCCAACTCTTGAAATGATATTTATTATTTGGGAGGCAGAAACTGAAAAATCACTTGTTTAGCAATATCCATATCATGATATTAAATCCTTTACATATTCTGGTCACTTAAACTTTTTGACTAAAAAGCCATGGTGTCCACAACAAAGAAGAAACATCTTGTAGAGTTTAAAAACATGTTTTTTTAAAAATAAAAACGTGTTTGCTTTTTTTTTAAAAGATTTTATTTATCCATTTGACAGAGACACAGTGAGAGAGGGAACACAAGCAGGGGGAGTGGGAGAGGGAGAAGCAGGCTTCCCGCTGAGAAGGGAGCCCGATGCGGGGCTCCATCCCAGGACCCTGGGATCATGACCCGAGCCGAAGGCAGACGCTTAACCACTAAGCCACCCAGGTGCCCCAAAACATGTTTTTTTTTAAAGGTCCATTATTTAGGTGCACCTGGCTGGCTCAGTTGGTAGAGCATGCGACTCTTGATCTAGGGTTGTGAGTTCAAGCCCTACATTGGGCCTAGAGCTTACTTAAAATCAAATAAAGTAAAGTAAAATAGAGGTCAATTATTTAATACCTCCAACTTAGCATCTGATGAGCTAGATTCCTCATATGAGATGCAAAACTTCAAAGTGGGAGAAATTTCAGTCCATTTATGAAAAAGAAACATTTATCAAGGCCTTAAGAACAGAGCAGCTCCTTTACTTTTAACTAGCAGCCTTGGGAATAGGGAACATTAAATAACAGTTCATAAAATGTGCTCTTTTGGGTCTTTGTCCAGAAGTGATTGAAATATCCAAAATGAACCCCCTTTTTTTAAATGAGGTTCATATGATCAGTGTTTGTTTAGTTTTCATCATCCTCATCATTGAGACAAGTGGGCAAATGGAGAATTGTTAGAAAGGAAGAAGGGAGTCCCAGAAATGGAAAAGTATGTGTGGCAGAGACAGAAAATAAATCCACACAGCCAACTTCCGAACGAGTGGTTGGACCAGGAGAGTCTACCTTCCGGTTGCACCCCAATGGCTCTTCCCCCAAAGGAGGGTCACCGTGGCTTGCAGGATCACTATGGTTCCCTCTTTGATTTTCCTTTGTGTTTTAGTTTTTCTGCCAGCCTTGCCCCCTGATAACCTGCTCCCAACACTAGGTGGAAGGGCTTGCTGCTGTTCTCTAAAGCCAGTAGGAGTAGGGCAGGGAATTGGAAGTAGCTACCTGAGGAAAGATTTCATGATCAAATATTTTTAAGAGAAATAATATGAACCTTAAGAAATGATTGTTGTCCCCACAGTTTAATGTGCTGACTCTAAAAATAGGGGACTGTTAAAAAGAGATTACAATGTGGACAGAAATTCAACCTGCATTGGCTGCATTCGGAGAAATAATCCAGTCTTCTTACAGTGTAGTGGCATGAGAGAAAGTCTGGGTTCCAGCCCTGGCTCTGCCCTTTGTTTACTGTGTACCTCTGTCTCTCCAGCTGGATAGTGAAGGCTTTTGGATTTGAAGATCTCTCGGGATCCTGTCAATCCAGCACCTGCTGTGTTCTTTGGGTCTCTGAGGTTGTGGTAGATCCTCATCTTGGTAACACTGTCATTTTTATCTATTCTAGAGTAAGATGAGCAGAGTGAGGGAGCTGTTGTATGGAGGCACAGAGCTTATAGTAATGGCAAAAGGTCAGAAGAGGCTCCATGTTAGTATAAAGCCTCAGTTACCTCTTTTGCCACCAGATGGTGACCAGACATTTGCGAGACTTAAGAATTAGCTTTAGCTAAGACTTAACAAATGTCTTAGGAAATGAAGAAATTATAAGTTAATGGTGTGACTGATTATGTGTATGTCTTAAACCGTGTCACACTAGTCAGCAATAATTTCAGCAGTGAAAAGGTAGTTACCTATAGTTTATACATTAGATATAGTTACCTAAGGTATAGTTTATGCCTACTTACAGTTACCTAAGGTTAAGAATCCTTTATCAAAGAGGGGGATCTGATCAGAGTTTGAAATCATGATGAGTATAAAGTAAGCAAGAGAGAACTGATGAATTCATCAAATGCTGGTATACTTGAATGAAGAAGCATTCTTTAAAACCTTAAAATTAATAAAGATAAAAATAGAGATATAAAAATGGTGCTTATTAATACTAGAGGTACTGCTATATGGAAATATAAATATAAATGTTTTCAGTTCAATAAATTAAGGTAAACCTATCCACAAAAGGTCTATCAGTGAACCTTAAGAGGAAATCAGAAGTGCTTCAGGATCATTTCTGAACTGTGGATGTGACAGAGTTGTGCCCTCCTACCTTAGGAGTTGACAGACTTTTTCTGTAAAGGGTCAGATAGCAAATATTTTAGGCTTGCAGTTTATATGGCCTCTGTCTACTCAACTCTACCATTGTATGAAGTTGCCATATGCAGTATGTAAACAAATGGGTGTGACTATTCCAATTAAACTTTATTTACAAAAATAGGCAGCAGGCAAGGTTTGGCCATGTGCCATAGTTTGCCAGCCCACCTGTAGGCGAAGGCTAGAGTTCTAAGCATTTCTCCTTTTTAGGCCTCCATCTCTGGCTTTGGTCAAATAAGGGGTTGAATTAGAGGATCTCTGACATTTTTCAGGTTTTGTGTCCTTTAGTATCTCTCCCTGAAGCTAAGTGATCCACCAGGCCAACTCAGAATGATTTTTCTTTTATTTGTAAGGTCAAGTTTCTAAAAATCCAACTTGAACAAATCTGTAAGTCTCTAGAACAGGGTTTCTGAACCTTGGCACTATTGATATTTTGGTCTGTTGTTTGTTGCTGTTGTGAAGATGCTGCCATGTGCATCTAGGATGTTTAGCAGCATCTCTGGCCTCCTCTACCCATTAGATGCCAGTAGCACACACACTCCTCCCCCACACCAAATGTCCCCTGGGAAGCAAATCACCCCCAGCTGAGAACCACTGCTCTGGAGACTTTGTATGAGTAACTGGAAGAGTATCAAAACTGGAAATCAGGCCATTTGACCCAGGATGGCCACAGAGATAATAAACGTCTTTCTTCAGGTACAAGGTCAAAAAAGCCAAGCCCAAAAGAACAACCAGTTTATTAGAAAAAGAAAGACAGTGAGAATCAAAGGGGGCTGGAAATTTGGTAGTAGATTGCTTTTTAATTTTTTTTTTTTTTTTTGAGAGTGAGAAAGGGAGCGGGGTGGGTGGGCAGGCAAGAGGAGGGACAGAGAGAGAGGGAGAGAAAATCCTAAGCAGGCTCCACACCTGGTCCCACACACTCCAACTCGGGGCTCGATCTTCTGACCCTGAGATCATGACCTGAACCAAAATCCAGAGTTGGACGCTTAACTGACTGAGCCACCCAGGTGCCCCAGTAGATTGCATTTTAATATTGATTTAGATCATTTTGTGGAAAATGTTCCTAAAACCACTGAACCAAAATAGATGGCTATGTATAACAGGTAGGTTAAAAGTCAAACAAAGAAACATGGATGAAGAGGGATCTAGAAGAGATCATTAACACCAAAAATGTTTAGTTTTCACTCCTCATATCACTTGATGAGATCTCTAACAGAAAGAATTCATACTGTATGAATTCATTAGCCCTTATCTAGCAAGTCTGGGTTTTTTGTTTTGTTTTGCTTTTAATGGATAAATCAAGTATGGTTTATTTCTACAGTAGAATATTATTTACTGGAGAAAATGAATGCAGTATAGCTTCACACAACTACATAGATGGATCCTTGAAGGCAGATTTTAAATGTCAATAAAGCTGGTCTTTTAAAAGTCCAGATCACATAGCTGGCTTGTGATTTAGCTACAGTTAAAAGCTAAAGTCATCTCTGTTCAACTAAAGAACACTTGATTTCCATCTTCCTTTTACTTATGCCCATATTATTTCTTTTAGGAATTCATTCTCTTCCAATTGTAAGGGATATTAATCATAGCTGACAAGTCCTGAATATCCAGATGGCTTTGAACAAGAAATTTTTCTGGTTTTGTCTTATTTTGCCTCTTGTTTTCCTTACAGTGACTTTAACACAGTGTGATATTTTCTGAACAGTGATTTAAGAACTCGAAATTCTAATTCTAGTCTCAGGCTCTGCTTTTGACTTGCTCTTTGACCTGGGGCAGACTACCCCCTGCTGAGGAAACAGTTTGTTCATCTTTAAAATGGTAGAGATCCCCCAACTTCCCAGGGTAATTATATAAGAATCATCTTTTTATTTTTATTTTAATTCCAGTATAGTTAACATACAGTGTTATATTAGTTTCAGGAATACAATATAGTGATTTAACAATTACATAAGAATTATCTTTGAAGCCTTGTTTAATATGTAGATTTCTGTGGTTCATTCCCTCATTCTGATTCTGTAGTGTAGGGTAAGGCCTAGGATGTCCGGGTGATTCTGGTACATGGCCATGTTTGAGAACAATTAGAGATGATCTCTAAGGACCTTTCAACTCTAAAATGCAGTGGTTACATGAAATCTCTATTTCCCTAAATGCCTTTTATTATATTATCTTCTGGGAGCTCTTTTATATACTGCAAGAAATAATTGAGATTAATACATTGTAGGTTACTCCACATACACAGGGGCAGCTTTGGTTTGCTATAATGTGATCATCTTATGGCTCAGGATGAGAATCTTGACCCCCAATAATTGTGTTAGAGGATGGTTTCCCTTTTTAACAGGGTGCTATCTCAGCTTCTTTGTCTTCATCCTTGGATTTAGAGAAGAATTAAACAGTCTTGATATTCTGATTTCCATGTAACCATAAAGTAGAATAAAATTAGAAATTCTGCACGGTGGTTAACTTGTTTGTTTTTCTTTAATTTACAGAATGCTCTTTTCAGTTGCATTAGCAGAAATGAAAGTAAGTATATTGTCAATGGTTATATGAGCAGTCCAAAGAGCAAAACTCAGTTTACAGAATACAATTTAGCTGTTATAAGCATTGCCAAGACCTGGCATTATGACATGGGCTGTTAGTAAGCTGCCTGAAGGCCCAGCAGGATTCTGATAGGCTCTTTCCTCAGTGGTTTTCAGGCTATTCATGAATTATGACAGTTTCTATGTCTTAACTGCAGATTTACAAAGCAGATACTGTTAGATGGGAAGATCATGCCCTACTTGAATAAATAGGATTACTCGCAGAAATTAAGCATTCCCAGGTGATACAGTGTAGCACTTGCCAAGGACTGCCTCTCAATTCATTCCTCAGACATTTACTGCCTACTTGCTCTGTGGAGACAGACACAGGATATAGGATAGTTAGTGTCACTGATAAAAGTGCTGTGGGAATTCAGAGGAAGGAGGGATCACATCCTGCAGGGGTGCTTAGAGTGGCTTTGTGGAGTTGGTAGCTGAGCTGGGCCTTGAAGTATGGACAAGAAATGAACAGTGGAGATTGGAGGAAGGACATCCCAGGTGAAGGGAGTAGTGAGCAGTTACAGCTAGGAAAACACAGCTGAGGAACAGAAGAGTTGTTTGGATTAGCTTGGCAGTTCAGTGTATCAAAGTATGATAAGAAACATTAACTGGCTATATTTTATCTTCTAACCCTCTCTAATTAGGGCTTAATTCACAATTTCCAAGCTGTTCTCATAGTAATCTCTGTCCTCCCGCACTGGTGAGGAAGCCAGCCTAATGGAGGAATCAGAAGATGGGCATCCTTGGCTTTTTCTCACTTGTCTCTTCTGTCCCCACCCCTGCCCCTCAGTTTATCCCAAGGTTAATGGTGATAAATGTAGCCATAAATTACTCTTTGTGTTGAAGTTGAACAGTTCAGCAATGAACACAGTAAGTAGTAACTGTAAGTTAACAACAGGTGGCACAGTAAGTGTGAAACAGTTTCCTGGTGCAGGAAACAGGCCTATCCTCTATCAGTTCAATCCTAGCTTAATTTGTGTATAATTTTATCCTTGTCCTTATTTCTGGAAGTTGCCTGAATTCTCTGCTCATTCCCTAGTCAGTGGAATTCACCAGAAACCTGATTCTGGTTCCTCCATAACCTCTAATAATTATCAGAGATTTCCTACCTGCCTTTCTCTTACCCGTTTCCTGCCATACCTCCACCTGGGTTCCCTTCAGACTCCCACAGACCCTCTAACCTCTCCTATGTGGATCTCTTGCTCTTCCCCAGTATAAATCCCACATCTGCACCCCCCCAAGCCACTCATCTAGCTCCCCCCAGATACCTGAGATGGTCTCCCTTGATTTCTAAAAATAAACAAATCAAAAAAGGTATTTCACATGTGGGTTTTACTTTTCAGTGTTAAAGCAGGTCATATCAGTTGTGAGGTAAAGACCATTTCAAATTAGACATGGGAATAGAACTTATGAGATTTTTTCTCTTTTTTTTGAGATTTTTTTTCAAGATATACAGTTATATAACTGTCAAATTTATGAAATGAGCCTGGTAGCTTAGTTTTTACTAGTCCTGTTTTATAAATGTGAAGCATTTGGGGTTTGGTTTTATTTTGATTTTGTTTGCCTTGCTTTGTTTGTAAATCTCCACAAATCTAACATAGAAAGGTGTTCCAGTGGTTCTCAGCATGGGCAGTATTGGCATTTTGGGAGACCGTTCTGGTTGTGTGTCTGCCCTGTACGTTGCAGAGCAGTTAATAACCCCGACCCCATGCACTAAATGCCGGCAGTAGTCCCCAAGTCATTGTGAAAACCAGAAACATTTCCACATGCCTCCAGAATCTCCCAGAGGGGTGGTCCTGCTCCTGCTGAGAACCACTACGCTAGATAGACTATACATTGACAAATAAGGACTCTCTTAAACCACTGAGCACCTGGATGTCCTCATGGCTATTTCTATAGTAGTGCTGATTTAAAGTACTTGTCTTCTGTGCCATGGTTTTATATCTCAAATTCAAAAAGGTACATATTGTTTTATCAATATTTTGACAATTTATTGTTAGCAAATGGCTATTTCCATTTCAGCATCATTTCCTTTTTTCCCCCATAGTGGGCTCAGTTTGTTGCAGTTATGCAGGCCATCACACAAACTGCCGAGAATACTGTCAAGCCATCTTTCGAACAGACTCTTCTCCTGGTCCATCTCAGATCAAAGCAGTGGAAAATTATTGTGCCTCTATTAGTCCACAATTAATACACTGTGTGAACAATTATACCCAATCTTATCCAATGAGGAACCCAACAGATAGTAAGTAAAATGGACATATTCCTCTCGTTTCAATCTTTGGTAAAATCATTTGTAAAAAGGAAGTAAATTCTTGGGGTGCCTGGGTGGGTCAGTTGGTTAAGTGTCCGACTCTTGATCTCAACTCAGGTCTTGATCACAGAGTCGTGAGTTAAAGCACCTCACTGGGCTCCATGCTGGGTGTGGTGCCTACTTAAAAAAAGGAAGTAAATTCTTGTAGATATCTGCAGTCTCAGTCATTTGGGAAACACCAGACTTCCTTTGGTGTTTAGATTTGACAGATTGGATATTATTATCACAGCTGAAAGGTGCCAAGAAAGGTAGAGCTGTCAAGGGTATGAGGAAGCAGGCACTCTTTGTTCTGGGGATGGGAGAATTCATTGGTATGGATATTTTGAAAGGAAGTTGGGTTATGACCATGAGAATTTCAAATTATCATACCTTTTAGTCTAGCAATTCCATTTCTCAGACTTTGTCCTTCAAGAAGACTCATAAATATATATGCACATGTAAAGGATATTTACTGCAACACTGATAGTAATGGAGAAAAATTAGAAATAACCCAAATACCCATCAATAGGAAATTGATTAAAGTTGATGAAATAAATTATATATCTATATAATAACAATACTTTATAACCAACATAAAGAAAAAAAGTATGTTTATATAGAAAGGAGTCCAAGATATAGTAAGCAAAAAAGTCAAGTTGCAGAACTAACTGTATAGTATAATACATTTTTAGTTGTATGCCTATTCCATTTTATATGTTTTTATAATGAACAATTATTTTATAATAAAAGCCCTATCACAAAAATGAGAAGAGATCCTGATACTTATGAAAATCAGGGCCTCCTAGTGAACCTGCACCTTATGGGGTCTTCGAAGTCTCAGCTTTGTACATCCTATAATCCGTTTTCTTCATTTAGAGGTGAACAAACTTTAAACAATTAACTAATTAACAAAACTGACAAAAGATTTATAAGCTAATGCCAATGTTTTGATTTACACTGGGCTACTGAAAGACTTGTTTTTGTAAACTCAGAGGCAGTGATATGTGCCATTTGTCCAGCATCTAAAGCAGAACTCTCATGCTTATAACATTCTGTGGAGTGGCTGTATGATGAAAATCAGAGGATGAAGCATTTGCCACAAGTAACCTTTATTCCTTTTTTTATTTTAAACATTTTATTTATTTATTTGTCAGAGAGAGAGCGAGCGCACAAGCTGGGGGAGTGGCAGGCAGAGGGAGAAACAGGCTCCCTGCTGAGCAAGGAGCCGGATGCAGGACTTGATCCCAGTACCCTGGGATCATGACCCCAGCCAAAGGCAGACACTTAATCACTGAGCCACCCCGGCATCCCTATTCATTTTTTTTAAAGATTTATTTATTTTAGAGAGAGAGTGCATGTGCATGGGGGGGAGGGGCAGAGGGAGAGGGAAAGAGAGAACCTTAAGCAGATTCCCCACTGAGTGTGGAGCCCCATGCAGGCTCGATCTCACAACCCTGAGATCACTACCTGAGCCAAAACCAAGAATCTGATGCTTAACCGATGGCACCACCCAGTCATCCCAAACTTCATTCATTTTAAAGGCAGAAGCAACCTGATATCTTGTCAGAGTATGCTATTATGTTATTTAAATTACAACTTAGAGGGGTGCCTGGGTGGCTCAGTAGGTTAAGCATCTGCCTTCAGCTCAGGTCATGATCCCAGGGTCCTGGGATCCAGTCCCGCAGCAGGCACCCTGCTCAGCAAGGAGTCTGCTTCTCCCTCTCCTTCTGACCCTCCCCCCTGCTTGTGATCTTGCTCGAGTGCATGCTCTTTTTCTCTCTCTAAAATGAATAAATAAAAAATCTTATACAACTTAGATTAACTTGCACAGATATATGAAAGCTTTATATCCCAAAATGTGATGGAATATGGTTTTTGTGGGTTTTGCTATTGAAATTAGTCATCTCTGTCATTCTGTCAAGAACACAATCCCTTTTAGGCAGTTTCTAGTGTGAAATAATTCCAGTGTGATCTGTAATACCTTTTCCAGGAACGTAAGATACTTTGCATGTAAGGACTTCTTAGGTGTAGGACGAGATGAGCTTTCATTTATGTAGTATTGGTGCTAAAGATCCTATGTTTGGAGATAGTGGTAAATTCTGGTAATAGTTACCTTGTCCACTTTAGCTCTTCAGTTATTTGCTACACTACAAAGTAATGGAGAGAGAATTTGGTAGGCTCTGTGTACTACAGATACTGACATATGACTGAGTAGTAGTGTTTCCAGTATACCACCATGTTCTTTTGTTCTGAGCAGTGCATGACATAAAATCAGCTAATTAAGTCACATATATTCTGAAAATTTAGGTTTATATTGCTGTGACAGAGCTGAAGACCATGCTTGCCAAAATGCCTGCAAGAGAATTCTGATGTCTAAGAAAACAGAAATGGAGATTGTTGATGGCCTCATCGAGGGTTGTAAGACCCAGCCTTTGCCTCAGGATCCTCTTTGGCAGTGTTTTCTTGAAAGCTCACAGTCTGTTCACCCTGGCGTCACTCTACACCCTCCTCCCTCTACGGGCCTTGATGGAGCTAAATTGCATTGTTGTTCTAAAGCAAACACTTCAACATGTAGGTCAGTATCTCATTTTCCTTTATTAAAACCAGTAGAAAATAGCGTTTTAATTAGTGATTTTAAGCCTAGCAAATGTACGTTATATTTTTGTATTGTGTAGACTTAAGAGTTTAGACGATGTAAAATCTTTCATCCAGCAAATATTTATTAAGCGTCATGTGTTTAATATAAGACATTGTTTTTGAACATTGCTAAAAGAACTGTGTTTTGGAGTATAGAGGATTAACATTGGCAGGGCAATAAATATTTAAAGATGATGCAACATGGATTCTACCCTCAAGGCTATCATTAAGTAAGCTTACAATTTAGAAGATGTTTTGATGTGACATCTAAGGGATATTCTCTTTGTTAAATTATGAAACTTTGAACAGTAACTGACCTTTTGTATATATTGGTGAATGATCTGGGTTGTCACTTAAACCCAAAGTTAGATAACAGTGTATTGGCATTCATTTGGATGATACACTTAGGGAAAAATTATACAAATATAAGATGGAAGAAACAATCTAAGAGACAAGAATAAATGGAGATAACTAAAGTCTTGGCAGAACACAGGTGAAATAGAAGTTTGCTTTATTAGGGATATTTTAGGTGAAAATGGACCACATATTACTAGAACATCCTGAAATATCACCTACCAGGAGTGAAACAGTTTTTCCCGTGGTTTCTAAATTGAATGGACCTTTAGCAAAAATTGTGCCCAGAATAACTCATCAAACTTTACCAAAGATATAAAAAAACTGGAAGATATCTGAAGAAAATTAACAGAAGAGCTTAAAGAGAAGTTAAGTTGGTCCTGTAATTAAGGAAATTTAATTGCTGATAGGAACTAAATGTATTTATGGGAGGGATGCTGAGTAATTCTTTGAATGTCCTTAAAAGTATTTATGCCCTCCTTGGGACGGTGGGGATAGGAGAAATGGGATATGTAGCTCAGCTGATGGACACAAAATCAAAGGATTCGGCTAAAAGACCAGGTCCAGGTCAAGCAACCACAGGGTGTGGGAGGGAAGGGAGTGCAAGCAATAAGGCATCTAAAGAAGGGGTGAAGCTCATCTCTGAGCTGTCCAAGTCCAGGCTGGGCACTTGAGGGAAAGTGGAAGAATTCATTCCACCCAGCTCAGCTTCCCCAGGTCTGGACTGGAAGAGGAGGGAATGAGTTTCCTGTGGCTGGGTGAACTCCCTCTTCGTGGCCCTGAAGCTGACCCGGAGGCTTCCTGCAGGGTGAAGGTCACAGAGCTGCAGCTGACATCCTCTGAGCTCCATTTCCAGCCGGAGCAGGAGCTGGTGCTACAAATCAGCAACGCGTCCTTGGGGCTGCGCTTCCGGAGGCAGCTTCTCTACTGGTTCTTCTATGATGGAGGCTATATCAATGCCTCTGCCGAGGGTGTGTCCATCCGCACTGCTCTGCAGCTCTCCCGGGATGCCACTGGCCGTATCAAAGTGTCCAACGTCTCCTGCCAGGCCTCAGTCTCCAGAATGCACGCGGCCTTCGGGGGAACCTTCAAGAAGATATATGAGTTCCTCTCCACATTCATCACCTCGGGGATGCGCTTCCTCCTCAACCAGCAGATCTGCCCCGTGCTTTACCACACAGGGATGGTGCTCCTCAATTCCCTCCTGGACACTGTGCCTGTTCGCAGCTCTGTGGATGAGCTGGTTGGCATTGACTACTCCCTCCTGAAGGACCCTGTAGCGTCCGACAGCAATCTGGACATGGTCTTCCGGGGGGCCTTCTTTCCTCTGGCTGAGGGGAACTGGAGCCTGCCCAACCGGGCGGTAGAGCCCCAACTGCAGGACGAGGAGCGGATGGTGTACGTGGCCTTCTCGGAGTTCTTCTTTGACTCTGCCATGGAGAGCTACTTCCGGGCGGGGGCCCTGCAGCTGTCACTGGTGGGGGACAAGGTGCCCCACGATCTGGACATGCTGCTGAGGGCCACCTACTTTGGGAGCATTGTCCTGCTGAGCCCAGCAGTGATCGACTCCCCGCTGAAGCTGGAGCTGCGTGTCCTGGCTCCACCTCGCTGCACCATCAAGCCCTTGGGTACCACGGTCTCTGTCACTGCCAGTGTCACCATCGCCCTGGTCCCCCCAGACCAGCCCGAGGTCCAGCTGTCCAGCATGACCATGGACGCCCGTCTCAGCGCCAAGATGGCACTCCGGGGCAAGGCGCTGCACACCCAGCTGGACCTGCGCTGGTTCCGAATCTACTCGAACCAGTCCGCCCTGGAGTCACTGGCCCTGATCCCGCTGCAGGCCCCTCTGAAGACCATGCTGCAGATTGGGGTGATGCCCATGCTCAATGAGCGGATGTGGCGGGGGGTGCAGATCCCGCTGCCCGAGGGTATCAACTTTGTGCGCGAGGTGGTGACGAACCATGCGGGCTTCCTCACTATTGGGGCTGACCTCCACTTTGCCAAAGGGCTACGAGAGGTGATTGAGAAGAACCGGCCTGCCGACACCAGGGACTCCTGGGCACCCAGTGCCCCACCGCCCTCCACGACAGCTGCCTGAGCCCTCAAGCCCACCCTGGCAGGGGCATTCAGGACTCTGACACCTCTCATCCCCTCCCCAGCCCATAGTGTCCTGTCTAACCCCCCAGTGCCACAGAGAAGACAGGGCTTTAAACTGTACCAAATTTAATTCCATAATCAGTCAATCCATCAATTACAGTCCGTCCACCCTCCCCGTGGAGTGTCCTGAGCTCTGCTGTGTTCTAGTGCATGAAGGGAGGGGCCCAGGCCCCACCCCAGTCAGGAATAAAGTGCTAACTCCCCCCCCCCAAAAAAAAAAAAAGTATTTATGCCGTAAAATCATTGGAGATTGGAAACACTTTGCCCTACCTTAACTTGATGTAACGTTTTATGGTTTATTTCCATCTTATGATTGGTGTCGGTTTGTATAATTCCTGCTTATATATAGAAAGCTAATTCTGAGATGTTATTGAACAGTCTGTTCAAGGTCATAGAGAAAGTTAAGGACTAGAGAAAGGACTGGTTTCTAGCTCAAAGTACCTAATTTAACTCATTCGCAGCTTCCTCCTCTCTATGATGTATGAGCTCCATGGAGAGCAGGGACCTTGTCTCTCTTATTTACTGTTATATATCCAGTGCCTTGAACAGGGTCTAACACAAAATAGGCACTCAGTAAACATCAGTAGAGTGAATGAGCAAAATTATAAAAGTAAAAACATCCTTCTCATAGGGTTGAATATGAAAGTCAAATAAAATGTGGCAGGAATGGAGAATTTTTACTTGTGACTTTGCATATTTTGGTAGTATATTTTATATTACATGTATTATGTTTTTTTCCATTTTTATTTTATAAATTTTAAAAATTAAACTAATGTGAAGGCACTTTGGAAATGGTACTGATATTATTTTAGTCATATGCAAGTTGCTTTGTAATCATCAAGTACTACAAATAAGATTGTCATATATTAACTACAGTAGTATATAGAAAACTTGGAATTCATCAGCTTTTACATGTAGACTACCTTGGCCTATCTTAAGGAATATAAGTGGCTTTGGGATAATTTTTCAGAGAGAAACTAGTGAACCCTAAGTCTGTAAAGCTTCTTAAATCTGAGGACCATGTCACATTTTCACCTCCTGTGGTTGAAATATAAATATAGGAGAATCTATCTTTGTGGAGGCAAGACCATATGCCTTACCTTACTTTACATAAAGGTAAAAGAGAGATCAGAAATATAGAGGAAATAACTGTGCCAAGAATAAGGATGTACAAATACCGAAATTAAACATTACATTTAGCACTGAGCTTTGTAGCAATCATGGGGAAACGGAAAGAGATGGATGATAAAAGAAGGCTAACATTTTCATGAAAGAGTTCACTGTTTATGGCTCTAAATTCTAGGAAATAAATTTTAGTCTTTTGGTTTTTGTAATTTTTTTCTTATTTATATTCTAGAATATAGTTCATAGAATTTGAGTTTTATGCGAATCAAATCATTCATTTGGCTCATCTGCGTTTCTGCATTTGTGTGTTTATTTCAGAGAACTGTGCACTAAACTTTACAGCATGAGCTGGGGCAATACACAGAGTTGGCAAGAGTTTGATCGTTTTTGTGAATATAATCCAGTGGAAGTGTCCATGTTGACCTGTTTAGCAGATGTTCGGGAACCTTGCCAATTGGGCTGTAGAAATCTTACTTACTGTACTAATTTTAACAACAGGTAAGAGCAAACTATTGTACATGGAATGGAAGTAGTTTATCATTATCTTGTTTTCAAATAAGTGAAAAGACCACTTTACTCTGATTTTTATTCTGATGCCAAGTTAAAAGGAAGTAGTATTTTTTTTATGATTTCATCTTTAAATGCTATAACTCATCCGGTAAATCACCTCTGGGAAAGGAAGCACTATAACAAAGTCCCTTCTAGACTAGAGATACTTAAAGCATCTAGAATTCAAAGAATCTTTTCTGCCTTCAGCCTACCATTCTTCCCCTCTTCCTTCTATTACACAACCAGTGGAAACAGTTCATTGCAGAATAAATCACTGTGAACAATTTGGCCGTCCAAATGCTCTCTTTTGAACAGTTTACTTCGAAGTTTACTTCAACCAGTCTGAAGGTCCCACTCAGCAAGTTCGCAATTTCATACAAAAATATTGCTTACTATTTATATTTTCTTGAAGTGTCAAGTACGGTTAAAAAAACAAGGGCCCAAAACTGAATGGCTGAACAAACAGTGAAGAAAACAAAAAGGCATCCAGAAGCTTAGAGAACACCATATCAGAGAAGGCAGAGAGAGAGTTTCTAAGCAAGAGGGGGCCAGTTTTGTGAGCTACAGCCTGGAGATCAAGGGGGCAAAGAGGGAAAGAATCATTCAGTTGGGGGCGCCTGGGTGGCTCAGTTGGTTAAGTGACTGCCTTCGGCTCAGGTCATGATCCTGGAGTCTCAGGATCGAGTCCCACCTCGGGCTCCCTGCTCAGCGGGGAGTCTGCTTCTCCCTCTGACCCTCCCCCTTCTCATGCTCTCTCTCTCTCTCAAATAAATAAATAAATAAAATCTTTAAAAAAAAAAATCATTCAGTTGGGTCAGACAGAAGTTCAAACGAACATAATCCTATTCTTTTAAAAGTATTCAGAATATTTTTTAAAAAGGTATTCAGAATATTATTTCAAGTAAGAAAACTGAGATATCTTTACAGCTGGTAATAGAGTGTTAGCCGATAAGGACATGGTTTAGAGATTGAGTAAATTTGAAATCTATGAAATGTTTGAAGTTAAACTTGGACTCATAGTCTGGCTTCTGGGGATAGTGGAGTAGTTTGTATCAAACTAATACTTCTGCAAGTACCAATTATGAACTCTGTACAAAATATTAAAAAAGTATTGTTTTGAAGGTGTTAGAGAGTGACCAAAAGCAGGAGGGGCTGTATCTCATGAAACATAGAAACCACACTGCACGAGGGCCGCATTTATCCAGTTTTTCCTTCATGGGCACCCTCAGCCCCCTTGCATGGCATAAAGAATTCAAGCAAAAAGCAGCAGTCTTGGGCTGAGGAGTTAGAGATCATAGTTTAGGGCTGCCAGAGTGGCTAGATGCAGGAGTAGAAAACCTGAGAAAGGTGGGAACCACAAAAGGAGATGCCCCCAAATCTGCAAACAAACTCCCGGTAAATCCTTAAATTTAACAAAGTGACAGTATACAAGGTTAACATTGAAAAGCCGATTGTATTTCTGTATGTTAGCAACAAACAATGGGAAAATGAAATTTATTTTAAAAATACAAATTTACACAATTGCATCAAAAAACATGAGATACTAGGGTAAATTTAACAAAAGAGGTGCAAGAACTACACATTGAGAACCAGAAAACTTTGCAGAGAGAAATTAAAGACAGTGAATAAACAGAGAGAGGTACTGTGTTCATGGATTAGAAGACTCAATATTGTTAAGATGTTAATTCCCTGGGGCGCCTGGGTGGCTCAGTCAGTTAAGCATCTGCCTTTGGCTCAGGTCATGATCCTGGGGTCCTGGGATCGAGCCCCGCATCGGGCTCCCTGCTCCGCGGGAAGCCTGCGTCTCCCTCTCCCACTCCCCCTGCTTGTATTCCCTCTCTCGCTGTGTCTCTCTCTGTCAAATAAATAAATAAAATCTTTAAAAAAAAAAAAAAGATGTTAATTCTCCTGAGACTGATCTCTAGATTCAGTGCAATCCCAATCAAAATCCCAACAGGCTTTTTAAGATAGAAATTGCCAGACTAACTCTAAAATTCAAATGAAAATACAAAGGACCTAGAATAGCTAAAAGAATTTTTTTTAAAAATAACAAATTTGGAGAACTTACAGTACCTGATTTCAAGACTTGTTATAAAGCAACACAAATTAGGGGTGCCTGGGGTGGCTCCGTCAGTTAAGCGTCATGATCCCAGGGTGCTGTGATTGAGCCCCAGGTTGGGCTGTGTGCTCAGCCTGGAGTCTGCTTGATATTCTCTCTCCCTCTCCACCTCCTGCCTGTTCTCTCTCTCAACAAATAAATAAATAAAATAAAATTAATTTAAGATGGGTCATAGCGCAAAACATAAAAGCTGAAAATACAAAGCTTCTAGAAGAAAACTTAGGAGAATATCTTGACAAACCTGGTGTAGACAAAGATTTTGTAGACAGGAGACAAAATGCACTAATTTTTTTTTAAAGATTGATTGATTGATTGATTGATTGATTGATTTGAAAGAGAGAAAGAGAGAGCACATGAGACGAGGGAGGGTCAGAGGGAGAAGCAGACTCCCCGCCGAGCAGGGAGCCCGATGCGGGACTTGATCCCGGGACTCCAGGATCATGACCTGAGCCAAAGGCAGTCGCTTAACTAACTGAGCCACCCAGGTGCCCAAAATGCACTAATTATAAAAGAAAAAAAAATAATGAGTTAGGGTTCAACAGTAAACACTTATTCACCGAAAGACACCACATAAGATTTGAAAAGGCAGGCCACAGTTTGAGAGAAAATATTCAGTATATCACATGTGCGCATTTACAGTCACACATACATTTGACAAAGGACTTGTAACCAAAATATATAAATAACTCCAATAACATCATAATAAAAAGTCAAACAACCCTTGGGGCACTTGGGTGGCTCAGTCGGTTAAGCATCTGCCTTCAGCTCAGGTCGTGATCCCAAGGTCCTGGGGTCGAGTCCTGAGTCGGGCTTGAGCAGGGAACCTGCTTCTCCCTCTCCCTCTGCCTGCTTGTACTCTCTCTTTCTCTGTCAAATAAATAAAATCTTAAAAAAAAGAGTCAACCCAATTTAAAAAAAAATAGGCAAAAAACTTTCAAGGGTCTTTCACCAAAGACATCAAAATAGCCACCATACATTCAAAGCTGATATCCTTTGATGCATTATATGTACTTTCTTTAAGAAAATCAGATTTTCCTACTGCATTAGTACGTCAGGATCTTACCTATTACTTCTCTCTAGAAAATAATTGCCTCTTAATTCTTTCTGGCCTTTTTTCTTTTCAGGCCAACAGAACTTTTCAGGAGTTGTAATGCTCAGTCAGATCAAGGAGCCATGAATGACATGAAGCTGTGGGAGAAAGGAAGCATAAAGATGCCATTTATAAACATACCTGTTCTTGACATTAAGAAGTGCCAGCCAGAAATGTGGAAAGCGGTAGCTTGTTCACTGCAGATTAAACCTTGTCATAGTAAATCCCGGGGAAGTATTATTTGCAAGTAAGTTTCTTTCCTCGTAATGACTCTCCAGTCTTGGTTTAGATCATGATCTGAACCACAGAGTTTTCTCTCCCACCACTTCTCTGCCCATCCTCCCTACATGTCAAATGCTTTCTCGGTTTTTCCTCTGCTTGAGATACTATTCCATCTCCACTTACCACTGACTGTCTTTGTTAGCCTCTCTCAAATGCCAGTCATTCCCATGGAATATTCACAGATCTTTCCAGCTATAATAGTAATTTATCCTTCCTACAAACTTCTGCAGACCTTTATTTGAACTTCTCTTATGGAATTTAGTTCCAGAAACATTTGTCAAGTACCTTCAATACTCAAATCTATTTTTATATTTTAATTTGTGTACTTACATTCTGTTAGCCTTTGTTCTCCTTGAGGAGTTTATTCCTTGTAACTTCTTTTTCTTGTCTCCTCTTTCCTCTTTTTCTTCTCTTCAGGGATTAGGGTAATCCTGACACATAGTAGGTGTTCTGTGCATGTTTAATGAGTGAGGGAGTTAGTGAATATAGTCATTAGGGCCTATTTCTAGTGAGCGTTTTGTGAATGGTTTGCTTAGGAGATCTAGGATAAAGTAAAGGTGAAAGCTGCTGTCCTGGGTGAAACCAAAAGCATTAGCCGTGTAGTAATCTATGCCAGCTGATCTTCAAGCATCTATTTTTCAAAAAACTTTCTAAAAACCAAGTCAATATCCAGCCCCTAAGTTGGTGTGTGTCTTGGTGCCGCTGGACACTTGATGACTGATTGCAGATTATTTCAACCTTAAACAGGGTCCAGATCTATTCTCTGGCATGACTTGGCCATGACTTGAGTAAGGGGAAAGATGAGGGGTAAGTTGGGTGACAAGAGGCAACCAGTGGGAAATTTATAAACTCATAGCACAAAAATTTATAGAAAAGGAATCAAATCCCTTTTGAAGACTGAGAAAATTTTAAAGTAGTATACTTTCCAGTTGTTATGGGCCAAACACCTTAATGTTGATAACTAAAAAGATACTTAAAAAGAGAAGGGGACAGAGGGAGGAAGAAGCAAGTAAGCATAAGGTCCTGGAAGAAAAGATGTATGATTTTGCAAAGAGGAAATCAGACTAGCCTAGTTTAATTTCCTTTCAAAGACTGGGACAAGCCACACTGATGGTAGTAACAGTATGAGTATAAAATTTGAGCAAGGCCTTTGATCTCAGATAAGAGAAAGGGATGCTTTGCTAGTATAATACATTACTTACTACTATGCAACCTGAGGTCTTCTATGACTCCTGTTTTCTTTTGCCATTACTCTGACCTAACCAGTTGTAAAATATTGTTATGAAAACTCACCTTCTGGAAGGCTTCAGAAACAGGATTGATATTGACTAGAAAACATGAGGAGGTTCCTTGAATTCTAAATTTGTATTTTTCTCTTTAAGATCAGATTGTGTGGAGATTCTCAAGAAATGTGGGGACCAGCACAAATTCCCTGAAGACCACACAGCTGAAAGTATTTGTGAGCTTCTGTCACCTACAGATGACCTAGAGAATTGTATACCTTTGGATACATACCTAAGTAAGTACTTTGTTTTTTTAGATTTCAAATATTTCTCCCTTTCATCTCTGCCCTTCATGTTTGCTTTGGATGAACATCTATCTGTTGAGAATGTGTAGTTTAATTATACTATCTCAATTGCAGACTCTTATCTTATTCGCTTGGTCTTTTTGGCCCTGGAAAGAATTGTCATCTTAAAATATATAGGCCCAAGTGACTATCTTATCAGTCTGAGGAAGTGATGAACTATTGTCAATCAGGAATTCTAAGCAGTGAATCTGGGGCAAGCATCTTAGATAATAGCTCCATATCATTGCTGTCCCCTTGCCATGATTTGACCAGGAAGTGGAATTTCCCCAGGGAATCTTCAGCTTTTTGTCCTGAGAATATTAGTGTACCTGAGCCAGGCATTGGCTTAGACTGACCCACCAAATAGGCAGTAAGGAATGACGGTCTGGGTTAGTACATGAAAATTGAACTTTTGTCTCTGCCAAAGTATTCCTGCCAAGAGCTAGAAGAATAAGTTGGTGTCTCATTGAGGGATCCTGGAGCTGAGTTTCTCAGCAGGAGGTGACCCTGTGTGGTGGAAACCAGAGAGATGACGAGTAGAACTCATACACACCGAGTATGTAGTTAGGGTAGCGCAAGTGTCTGTGCTGCCACCAGGGGGCGTTAGTGCCCCGAGCTGGCTGGAAAGGCAGACTGTGAATTCACCTACTTGCTTTGTTTTCCTGTGTCAGATAGGACTAAGTTCTACTGCAAATAACTGAAGAACAGGGAAAAGTAAAGGAAAGCCCAGAAATAAACAGTCCAGGGCTATTATAGTGGTTCTACCATCCAGAGTCCAGGCTCCTTTTGCTTTCTGCACTGTCCTTAGCGCTTGGCTTCCATCTCAAGGTTACTTGAGGTACTTTATTATCACAACATGCCTCCTATAATTCTAGCCACCATATTCTAGTGTAAGGGAAAACCACCCGAGCTGTAAGGGAAACGGAGAAAGATCTTTTTAACTGTGGGCCCATTGTCACGCTATTATTAGTAAGCAGGAAGAGAAGAGTGGATGCTAGATTTGCAGCTAGTGATATCAGCCACATTTTCTTAAGGCCAACAAACTGTGTCCCTCAGCCTTTATGACCAGTATAGTGAAAAAAAAAAGAGCATTAGACTAGAGTATAGGCCTCTGTGACTTTGGACAGATCACCTCTTTGCAGCCTCAGCTTCCCTGTTTATAAAGGATTGGGCTGGATGAGATGAACTCCAAGAATACTTATACCTTTATTAGCCCTACAGTCTGAGTCTGGCCTAAACTCAAGTAAGCAAAGCTAATGTAGTCACAAGCCTAGACTCTATTAGAGCAGTGAAATATATGTGTAGAAGGAAAAAAAGTTAAAGAAATGTTTTTGTTTGAATTTTAATACTCTCTTTAAATATCACATATACTTTATATTAAGTGAGACTCTTCCATGGTCATTATTTCACAAGTTGACAAATATAATCATGGTACAGGACCCATCTTACCATAGTGAATTATTATAGTTTATGGTAAAATGTGCCAAGTTATTCCTCTCAGCCATAAGCACATGTTTGACCACCCTACCATCCCTTTATACTACTTACTACTTATCATTAGGTGACTTTTTTATTTATACACACAGAGACACACATGCACATGCATACCCCCGGTCTATTTATTGTCTATTTCCCAAATAAAATGTAACTTCTACATTAGGGATTTGTCAGTTTTGTTCACTACTGTATCTCCAGTCCTCAGAACCTTGTCTAGCGTATTGTAGGTACCCAGTAAATAAACAAGTGAATGAATGTATGTATGTGTATGCTAAATTCACAAATGATCAGAGCATCTGTGTGTTTTAATAGTTTAGTAGAATCAGGCCTTACTTTCTGGTCATGAGCTCTCCATTTATTCTAGCCATAATTAATTCAGATAATTTACAGATCTCTCTTACCTTTTTGGGTTGGTTAAACTGATCTGTGTTTGGTTTTTCAGGGCCAAGTACTTTGGGTAACATTGTAGAAGAAGTCACTCATCCCTGTAACCCAAATCCTTGCCCTGCTAATGAGCTCTGTGAGGTAAACCGGAAGGGGTGTCCGTCTGGAGATCCCTGCCTTCCATTCTCTTGTGTGCAAGGTAAGAGGTAGATGGGTGTGGGTGTGGGGTGAGGGGTATGGATTTGTGTTTCTGTATAGGGATTATCTTTGGAGTGAGCTCACAATGGACTTTATTTTCTAAGTTATGTTTTTCTGTAACATTTGAGGTTTTCCCAATAAACCTGTGTTAGTTATATAGGCAGGAGAAAACAAAGACAAATGTAATTTTCAATTATCATTTAGATTGTAAACTGATTCTCATAAAGAGTTACAGGGTTCTTGACAACAAAAGGAAAGAAAACCTTGAGCCTGTTTTTTATACATTCTCTTCCGTGTTGTGATGTTTAAGAAAGTGTACTGCACATTGTTCATGTTTTTTTCTTTTCTTTCCTTTAGTTATATGGAGTAAAGGCATACTCAGTGGGATGTGCAATTATCTCCATGAGCTTAATGTTTTATTGGGATGCATATGATTTTAAGACTGATTTTTTAAAATTTTTTTAATTTTTATTTTCTTTTAAGATTTTATTTATTTATTTGACAGAGGGAGACACAGTGAGAGAGGGAACACAAGCAGGAGGAGTGGGAGAGGGAGAAGCAGGCTTCCTGACGAGCAGGGAGTCCGATGCGGGGCTTGATCCCAGGACCCTGGGATCATGACCTGAGCTGGAGGCAGACGCTTAATGACTGAGCCACCCAGGCGCCCCTGATTTTTTTTTTTTTTAATGCAGGAGGCCTCTTGAATAAGAAATGTTTATCCCAGTGAATTTTGATAGTCTTTATCTCTTCTGTTGTACAGTGTGGCAACATTTTGCTTCTTTTTATCTACTTCCCAATTGAAAATGTTTCTTTGTCATGTTAAAATCACCATGTAAAAATATCTATGAAGTAAAAAGGAATAGAAGATTAAATAAAATAAGCATGATGTCTCAAAGGATCATCTATAATATTTGTGTAATACCAGAATATATCAACTATAGAGTCAATATAAATCTTGTTAAAATTGGAAATGAATGGGTTTTCCTTAAGCCCAATCAAGTATTCAACTTTTCTTTGTATTTACAATATGCTTGTATTCCATCACTAAAAGTTTTCCTGATCAAGAGTATTCTAAAAAACATTGGGCGCGTGGGTGGCTGTCGTTAAAAGTCTGCCTTCGGCTCAGGTCATGATCCCAGTGTCCTGGGATCGAGCCCCGCATCAGGCTCCCTGCTCAGTGGGAAGCCTGCTTCTCCCTCTCCCTCTCCCACTCCCCCTGCTTGTGTTCCCTCTCTCGCTGTGTCTCTGTCAAAAAAATAAATAAAATCTTTTAAAAATAAATAAAAAATATTGTCGGTTTCCATAGTCCATTTTTTAAATATCTGTGATTTTTTAATATCCTTGATAAGCCCCAAGCAATAAAAAAAATATATCTTATAGCATTTTTTACTGAACTTTAGCTAACTTTGGGGTATAGGTCTATAATCACCACTATCTCACAGAACATGGAATTTTTCATTTGAGAGGATATGTTTTGGTCAGTGAACCAAATCAATTCGTTAGCTGAGTGAAAGTTCTATCACATAATTTTTAGGAGCCACAGAATACCTATGAGACTTATGTAAAATATATCTAATGTCATAAAACAATGTCATAGAACAATACCATCTCCCTCAGCTTATTTTTGTTTCGACAGGTTGCAAATTGGGAGAAGCCTCTGATTTCATCGTCCGTCAAGGGACACTAATCCAGGTGCCATCATCTGCTGGGGAAGTTGGTTGTTACAAAATTTGCTCATGTGGACAAAGTGGACTCTTGGAAAACTGTATGGAGATGCACTGTATAGATCTTCAGAAGTCCTGCATTGTTGGAGGAAAAAGAAAAAGTGAGTCTTGAGCTGTATTTATTTGCTTTTTGTTTTTAATATGAGATTAGTTATCTTAACTTTGTAGGAAGAACATTGGATAGATTACCACCGAAGAGTAAGGTCTACAAATCAGATCCTCCAGGGCAGTATTTCCCAAACTGTACTCTACAGGACACTAGTACTTCTAAGGAACCCTCTTAGGAGCCTCCTTAAGAAGGGACTAATAGCTAATAACAATTAATTAATACTTACTGAATTTTTAATTGTGTGCCAAGCACTATGCTAAGTCTTGGCCTGTATTATCTCATGTGAGCCTCCCAGTTGTTCTTTGAATTCAGTATTGTTGTGAGGAAGCTGATGCTTAGACAGGTTACCCAGCTAGTAAGTGACCAAAACAGAATTCAGTCCCAAGCCTATCTGACTCCAAAGCCCTTGCCCTCCGCAGGCAAGGACACAGGTGTGCTCCTTCCCATCCCTTCCTCCACTATGTCTCTTTACCAGAAGTAAAAGACAGAGTTTGACATCGTGGAAAGTGAACTGGAGGATGGGAACTACACTGTTGACTAGGCGTTAGGATAGAGCACATGAAGACCTGCCACCCTTTGATGCCCTCTCTACAAGTCTCAGGGTCTTGCCTTCTCACTGCATCCTTAGCCACGTTGTGCTTATAGCCCTAACAACCATTCATGTCAATATACAACCTCAAAAATTGTGGGAAAAAAAACTACTTTTGAGAATGTACTCCCTGACAGCTCTTCACTCTGCTACCCTCACCCCTACATCACCCCATACGTATCAACCAGGGTAGTTCTGCTTTCATATGCCTCTTGGTTTACTCTTCTGTGTGAGATATTTGAAAGAAGGGTGCTTTTGGCTAGAAAGAACCTGCAAGTGTCTGCCCTAGAACAACAAGTCAGGTATTCATTTTTTTAAAGATTTTATTTATTTATTTGAAAGAGAATGGGAGCACAAGCAGCAGGGAGGGGCAGAGGTAGAGGGAGAAGCAGACTCTCCACTGAGCAGGGAGCCAACTCGGGACTCCATCCCAGGACCCTGGGATCATGACCTGAGCCCGAAGGCAGCTTAACTGACTGAGCCACCCAGGCGCCCCTAGGTATTCATTTTTTAATCCATATTCTACTTAGCCAAAATGTAATATAGGTACCTTGTATCACACAGTATCTGAGGATAAACAAATTCATTCTTTCCGTAGACTTCCACTGATTAAATGCCTACTCTTTACAGAAGAACATACTAGTGCTTTGTGGGGCTAAAACTGGGATGAGGGATTGAGATCATGCTGTACGTGATCAGATGGGGGAGAATTAGAGCTAAAAATGGAACAGACCAAGTGCTCTTCAAGGACCTAGTCATTCCTGCCAGGGCATCAGGGGAGTCTTCAATTCAAAGATGGCATCAGGGCTGACTCTGAAGAGATGACTGAAGTTCCAGAGGAGGAGAGGAGCATGTGAGGCAAGAGGGGCAGTCAGAAACATTCTCAGAGATTAGGGAGCAGTCTGGTGAGACTAGCATGATGGCGGTTTGGAGAGAAATGGTGGGAGGTAAGTATGAAAATATAAATATTACAGATTTCATTTCTCAGTTTGTATATTCAGAAGTCATCTTTCAAGAATTTCTATTTTAAAATGTTTTATTTATTTTTTTTAAAGATTTTATTTATTTATTCATGAGAGACAGAGGGAGAGAGAGAGGGAGAGAGAGAGAGAGAAGCAGAGGGAGAAGCAGGCTCCCACGGAGCAGGGAGCCCGATGCGGGACTCGATCCAGGACCCTGGGATCATGACCTGAGCCGAAGGCAGACGCTTAACCGACTGAGCCACCCAGGCGCCCTATTTCAAAACGTTTTAAACGATTCAATTTTTAATGTATGATTTACTTATAAATGCATGAAATGGATCAACATTTTATTTCTCCTTTTCTTAGGTCACGGGACATCCTTTAATATTGACTGCAATATCTGTTCTTGTTTTGCTGGCAATTTGGTGTGTTCTACCCGCCTGTGCCTCAGTGAGCACAGTTCAGAAGATGACCGTCGCACCTTCACAGGTAACCGTGGCCACCCAGAACCTGTCCTTAGCGGCCATCATCCCTTTGTGCCCATTTCCCTTCAAGACAGCTTCACTGGTCTTGCCATAACTGCAAATGTACACAGTAAAATAAATACATAATCTGAGAACAGGATACTTGCCCTCTCTGGATCTGTTTCTTCCTCTGAACTGAAGGCATTAAACTAAATGGTTTCCTAGGACCCTTCCAGCACTAATAATCTGAAATTCCATGGGTTAAAAAGATCAGGGCCAAGTGATGGGGACGGTTTTGGTTAAATGGAACTTTTCTATCTGCTAAAATACCCCATCCACCCCTACCGTTATGTTATAAAATGTATTTTCTAAGTTTGTTTGTGTTACAATGTTTTTCTCATCACCTTCTTCCCTGACCTGCCTTAGCTTACTAGTTCATTAGGTAGAGACCCCTATAAGTAAGCTAGAGGTAGAAGAAGTAAAGAATGCTCCTTCCAATCTAGTGTTTAAAATCTAGAAGGTAGATATTTAAAGTCTGGCTTGGGGGATTTCTGGGATGTCAAAGGGTAATACCAAAAACAAGATAAAGACAAAGGTTGTAAACTAATCACATAGGTTCCTTCCACTCTTCATCGCCTTAGGGAAGGGGAAGAACAAGAAGGTAACTTGGGAAATTACTGTAATTTTGAGACTTGGGCATTTCTATGAACATCTCTGAGTTGCGTTTGGACTGGGACAATATCTGAGTCCCAAGAAATGTGGTACACTTTGTGGCCAGTAAAATCTCCTTAGAGTCTGCTAGCTAAACAGTCATTACCTTAATTTATGCCAGGACATGAGGGGCTACACACCACAGGGAAAGAGGGTCCTTCTAGTTGTAAAGTTCATCTTCCAAGTACATTTAGATGTAACTAAGTAAGTAAGTAAATTAAATAGATAAATAAGTAGTTTTCCACAAAAATCTTTAATTTACTCTTCATCCCCAATGGTTTTATGGTTTCTCTAAGCAGAATGAATTGCTCTCATCAAAGCAGAGCAGATAAAGGATAATAATAAGGATAACAACAACAACGGTGACAGTAAAGCATCAAGGTTGGTACTCAGGGTAGATAGAGGGTGGGGCGGGGTTAATCCTGTCTTCACTTCCCCAGCAGCCTGCTCTGCACTTCTTATTTCTGATTTCCTTTTTATTTCCAGTGGGCTGGAGGTACAAGGTCGGTAAATCCCTAATCTATTCTCTTCCCACCCCTCTCCATGTGTCATACTAACTCCCGGGAAAGACGAATCAACTTACTGCTGCAGCCACATGAAATGGAGTAAATTTAGGAGGCTACCTTTCTCCTCTTTACCCAGCACCAAGGGTATTTCAGATCTGGAGCAAAGCAGATCCCAGTAGATAGCAATAGACCGTGCTGTTGCTTCTCAAGAAAAGAGCATCGCATCTCATTGGCCTTTTTGCTTCCCGGAGCATAACCCAGCAGCATAAAGCGTGGGAATGTCAAGAAAGTAGTGTTCTTGATTGATTGCTTATAAACATTTTTAAGTCTCAAAATTACAGTAATTTCACAAGTTACTTTCTCATTCTTTTGTTATTACCCTTTAACATTCCAGAAATCCCCCAAGCCAGACTTAAGACATCTGAATTCTAGATTTATACACTAGATTGGGAGGAGCATTCTTTACTTTTCCTACCTATAGCTTTGTTTATATGGGTCTCTACCCCTGGGATCAAGGTCTGAAGGCCTCAATTAGCTGGCAATAAATGGAACAAAGGAAAGCCATTATGCAGACAAACAGCTTTTCAGAGCCTTGCCACCTTTAAAAGCACTATCAGAGATTGGAGGGATGCTTTTTCCTGACTTAATTCACAATTCTATTTTCACTTGGGAGCTCCATGTTAATTAGGAAATATGATGGGCAGGGGAATGTACAAGTACCCATAACTGAGTCTGTGCCCTCTCCACAGGTCTGCCCTGTAACTGTGCAGATCAGTTTGTCCCCGTGTGTGGGCAGAATGGACGCACTTACCCCAGTGCCTGCCTTGCTCGCTGTGTGGGCCTCCAAGACCATCAGTTTGAGTTTGGATCATGCATCTCAAAGGATCCATGCAATCCTAATCCCTGCCCAAAAAACCAAAGGTAAATTAAATAGCTCCTTATCTTTTTCTTTTTTAAAAAAAAGTTTTTCTTTTAATCACCTGGTGCTCATCACCTAGTTCACCCATCCTCCCACCCACCTCTCCTCTAGTAACCATCAGTTTGTTCTCTATAGTTGAGAGTCTATTTTTTGGTTTGTCTCTCTTTTTTGCCCCGTGTTTGTTTCTTAAATTCCACATCTGAGTAAAATCATATGATACTTGTCTTTCTCCAACTTATTTCACTTAGCATTATACTCTCTAGCTCCATCTATGTTGTTGGAAATGGAAAGATTTTATTGTTTTTTATGGCTGAATAATATTCCATTGTGTATATATGTATACCACATCTTCTTTATCCATTCGTCAATTGATGGACACTGGGCTGCTTCCATATCTTGGCTATTGTAAATAATGCTGCTATAAACATAGAGGTGCATGTATCCCTTTGAATGAGTGTTTTTGTATTTTTTGAGTAAACACCCAGTAGTGCAATTGCTGGATCATAGGGTAGTTCTATTTTTAACTTTCTGAGGAAGCTCCATACTGTTTTCCACAGTGGCTGCACCAGTTTGCATTCCCACCAACAGTGCAAGAGGGTTCCTTTTTCTCTACATCCTCTACAACACTGGTTGTTTCTTGTGTTGATTTTAGCCATTCTGACAGGTGTGAGGTGATATCCCATTGTAATTTTGATTTGCATTTTCCTGATGATGAGTAATGAGCATCTTTTCATGTGTGTATTGGCCATCTGTAGGTCTTCTTTGGAGAAATGTCTGTTCATGTCTTCTATTTTTTAACTGGATTATTTGTTTTTGGGTGTTGAGTTTTATAAGTTCTTTATGTATTTTGGATACTAACCCTTTATCAGATATGTCATTTGCAAATATCTTCTCCCATTCTGTAGGTTGCCATTTAGTTTTGTTGATTGTTTCCTTTGCTGTGCAGAAGGTTTTTATTTTGATGTAGTCCAAATAATTTGTTTTTGCTTTTATTTCCCTTGCCTCAGGGGACCCATCTAGAAAAAGGTTGCTACAGCCGATGTCAGAGAAATTACTGCCTGTGTTCTCTTCTAGGATTTTTATGGTTTCAGGTCTTACATTTAGGTCTTTAATCCATTTTTAATTTATTTTTGTGTATGGTGTAAAAATGTCCAGTTTCTTTCTCCTGCATGTTGCTGTCCAATTTTCACAACACCATTTGTTGAAGAGACTCTTTTTCCCATTGGATATTCTTTCCTGTGTTGTCAAAGATTAATTGACCATATAATTGTGCATTTACTTCTAGATTTTCTATTTATCGATCTGTGTGTCTATTTTTATGCCAGTACTATATTGTTTTGATTACTAACTTGAAGTCTAGAATTGTGATGCTTCTAGGTCTGCTTTGCTTTTCAAGATTGTTTTGGCTATTCAGAGTCTTTTGTGGTTCCATAAACATTTTAGGATTATTTGTTCTAGTCCTGTGAAAAATGCTATTGGTATTTTGATAGGGATTACATTAAATGTGTAGATTGCTTTGGTTAATATAGACATTTTGACAGTATTTGTTCTTCCAATCCATGAGCATGGAATGTCTTTCCATCTCTTTGTGTCATCTTCAATTTCTTTCATCAGTGTTTTATAGTTTTCAAAGTATGGGTCTTTTACCTCTTTGGTTAGGTTTATTCCTAGACATTTTATTATTTTCGGTGTAATTGTAAGTGGGATTGTTTTCTTAATTTCTCTTTCTGCTACTTCATTATTGGTGTATAGAAATGCAACAGATTTCTGTAAATTGATTTTGTATCTTGGAACTTTATTGATTTTGTGTATCAGTTCTAGCAGTTTGTTGGCGGAGTCTTTCTGGTCTTCTATGTATAGTGTCATGTCATCTGCAAATAGTGAAAGTTTTTCTTCCTTCTGATTTAGATGCCTTTTATTTCTTTTTGTTGTCTGATTGTTGTGGCTAGGACTTCAGTACAATGTTGAATAAAAGTGTTGAGAGCAGTCATCCTTGTCTTGTTCCTGACCTTAGGGGAAAGGCTCTCAGTTTTTCCCCATTGAGGAGGATGTTGCTGTGGGTTTTTCATATATGGCCATTACTATGTTGAGTTATGTTCCCTCTAAACCTTTGTTGAGGGTTTTTCTCATGAATGGATGTTGTACTTTGTCAAATGCTTTTTCTGCATCTATTGAAATGGCCCTATGGTTCTTATCCTTTCTGAGTGATGTGATGCATCATTTGATTGATTTACGAATATTGAACCACCCTTGCAACTCAGGAATAAATCCCACTTAATTGTGGTGTATGATTTTTTTAATGTATTGTTGGATTCAGTTTGCAAGTATTTTGTTGAGGGTTTTGCATCTATGTTCATCACAGGCATTGGCCTGTAGTTCTCTTTTTGTGGTATCTTTATCTGATTTTGGCATTAGGGTAGTGCTGGCCTCATAGAATGAATTTAGAAGTTTTCCTTCCTTCTCTATTTTTTGAGATAGTTTGAGAAGAATAGGTATTAACTCCTCATTAAATGTTTGGTAGAATTCGCCTATGAAGCCATCTGGTCCTGAACTGTTCTTTGTTGGGAGTTTTAAATTACTGAATCAATTTCTTTGCTGGTAATCAGTCTGTTCAAATTTTCTATTTCTTCCTGTTTCAGTTTTGGTATATGTTTTTAAGAATCTATCCATTTCTGGGTTCTCCAATTTGTTGGCATATCATTTTACATAATATTCTCATAATGGTTTGTATTTTTGTTGTGTTTATTGTTATTCCTCCTCTCTCACTTGTGATTTTATTTATTTGGGTCCTTTCCCTTTCTTTCTTGGTAAGTCTAGCTAGAGGTTTTTCAATATTATTGATCTTTTTTTAACTAGCTCCTGGTTTCATTGATCTGTTGTATTGGTTTTTGGTTTTTTGTTTATTTTAGTTTTTATATAACTTATTTCTGCTCTGATCCTTATTATTTCCTTCCTTCTGCTGGTTTAGGTGTAAGATTAGGTTGTTTATCTGAGATTTTTCCTACTTCTTGAGGTAAGCTTGTATTGCTATAAATTTCCCTCTTAGAACCGCTTTTGCTGTGTCCCAAAGGGTTTGGACCACTGTGTTTTCATTTTCATTTGTTTCCATGTACTTTTTTATTTCTTCTTTTATTTCCTGATTGACCCATTTTTAGTAGCATGTTACTGAACCCCCATGCATTTGTGGTCTTTCCAGATTTTTTCTTGTGGTTAACTTCTAGTTTCATAGCATTGGGTCAGAAAAGACGTATGGTATAACTTCAGTCTTTTTAAATTTGTTGAGGCTTGTTTTGTGGCCTGAGATGTGATCTATTCTGGAGAATGTTCCATCTGCACTTGAAAAGAATGTATTGTGCTTTTTTATGATGGAATGTTCTCAATATATTTGTTAAATTCATCTGGTCCAGTGTGTCATCAGAGCCATTGTTTCCTTGTTGATTTTCTGATTAGATGATCTGTCTATTGATTTCAGTGGGGTGTTAAAGTCCCCTACTTTGTATGGTTATCAATTAGTTCCTTTATGTTTGTTATTAACTATTGTATGTATTTATATAACATATATAAATGTATTTATATATGTATTAACTATTTTATGTATAATTACAACTGTTTTATCTTCCTATTGGATTGTACCCTTTATTATTATATAGTGTCCTTCTTTGTCTCTTGTTACAGTCTTTGTTTTAAAGTCTATTTTGTCCGATATAAGTATTGCTACTCTGGCTTTTGACATCCACTTGCATGATAAATGTTTCTCTATCCCCTCACTTTGAATCTACAGGTGTCTTTAGGTCTAAAATGAGTCTCTTATAGGCAGCATATAGATGGGTTGTTTTCTTATCCATTCTGTCAGCCTATGTCCTTTGATTGGAGCATTTAGTTCATTTACATGCAAAGTAATTATTGATAGATATGTACTTATTGCCATTTATTGTGGTGCTTTCTGAAGATTTCCCTGATCTTTCTTGTCTTTCTCTCGTTAGCTGGTTTTCTTTAATGATGTATTTGGATTTCTTTCTCTTTATTCTTTATTAGTGGTTTTTGAATTGTGGTTACCATTAGGTTTGTATCTAACATTGTCACCATATAGCGGTCTAAATTAAGTTGATGGTCATTTAAGTTTGAACTCATTCTTTACTCCTCTCCTCCCCACATTTTAGGTATGTGGTGTCATATATTACATCATTTTATTTTGTGAGTTCTTTGATTTTTTTACAAAAATACTCATTTTTTACTCCTTTTGTTTTTCCTACCTTCATACTGTAACTTTTGATCTTTACACTCAAAGAATACTCTTTAATATTTCTTGTATGGCTGGTTTAGTGGTCATGAACTCCTTTAGTTTTTGTTTGTCTGGGAAGCTCTACCTCTCCTTCTATTCTGAATGATAGCCTTGCTGGATAGAGTATTCTTGACTGCAAGTTTTTTTCCATTCAGCACTTTGAATATATTATGCCACTCCTTTCTGGCTTGGAAAGTTTCTACTGAAAAATCCAGTGATAGCCTTATGATGTTTCTTTCGTATGTAACTGTCTTCTTTTGTCTTGTGGCTTTTAGTATTTTTTTCTTTATCACTGTGTTTTGCCATTTTAATTACAGTATGTCTTGGTGTGGATCTGCTTTTATTGATCTTGTTGGGGGTTCTCTATGCCTCCTGGGTCTAGATATCTGTTTCCTTCCCCAGATTAGAGAAATTTTCAGCTGTTACTTCTTCAAATAAATTCTCTGATCCCTTTTTCTCTCTTCTTCCTCTGGGACTCCTATAACATGAATGTAATTACGTTTGATGGAGTCACTGAGTTCCCTAAGTCTTTTCTCATTTTGCGTAATTCTCTTTTCTCTCTTTTGTTAAGGTTGATTACTTTCCTTTACTCTGTCTTCTAGGTCATTAATTCATTCCTCTGCTTCTTCCAGCCTGTTCATTCCATCAAGTGGGTTTTTTTTTTTCATTTCGTTTATTGAGCCCTTTATCTCTATGTTATTCCTTATCTCTGTGTTAAGTGTCTCACTAATGTCCTCCACTCTTCTCAAGTCCAGTGAGTATCCATCTGATCATTGCTTTAAATTATCCATCAGCATGTTACTTATGTCTGTTTTGCTTAGATCTCTGGCCGTGGCCTTGCCCTATTCTTTCATTTAGGACACATTTCTCTGTCTTCTCATTTTGTCTTAAGTCTCTGTGTGTTAGGAAAGTCAACTACATCCCCTGTTCTCTAATAAAAGCCTCGTTTCAAATGTTTAATAACTATTTGTTTTTCTATGTTGAGAGTAATGGCTTTATGAAGAAGTCCTGTAGTGCCCTGCAGTATAGTGCCCCCTGCTCCCTAGGGCCTGGTGCTCCTGGGAGTGTCTCCAATGTGTGCTGCGTGTGCTCTGCTGTTGTGTCCTGACCACTTTGTCCTTCAGGCCAGTCATCTGCAGAGGCTCTCTACCTGTTGTGGGCAGTGTTTGATCCTGGCCTGAATGTGGGGCATTTTAACTAGGTGTGCTTGGGTCTGTTTGTGAAATGAGACCTGTCACCACTGCTACTAGAACCTAGGCTCTGCAAAACTCCCACATGGGGAGATGCAGTGTGAGCAGGGGTTTGGGCTAGTCTTCTGGAGGAGGGGCCCTGCCACACTGGGACTCAGTCAGTTGTTAATGGAAGGGGCAGTTCTACCAGAACATGATGGGGTCGGGCTTGGTTTAAGCAAGTGAAGTAGCGAGTGTTGATGCTGCACTGGTTCCTGAAGGTGGCCCTGTGCCTATGCTGAGAGGCAGGGGAGGGAAATGGTGCCTGCCAGCTCCTTTTTTCCCTGGAGGTGTCTCTGTGAATGCTGTCTCTCTGGGACACATTCTGAGATGAGTGAATAACCTCCCTACTGTGTTCCCCAGGTGCTCTTCAGATTGCTGTTTCCACACTGTATGTCTCTGAGCTGTTGGCCCTGCCTTTTCTTCAAGAGCAGCCCCAATGTCCTCTGAGCTCTCCCAGAGCCAAGCACGCTGACCTTTAAAACTCCAGGGTTTAAGTCCCACTGGTTCCAAGAAGTCATGAAGTTCAGGCCCTCTTGCTTTCCAAGCTAATTGTTATGGGGATTTGTTTTTCCCCATGCACTCCCCTGTGTGCTGGTTTGTCTCTCACCTTTCTCTGCAACTGTGACTGCCCCCCCACCACAGGGGCCATGATCCATTTCTCTTCTGAGCCATGTCTCTGCACTTCCTACCTTCTTCTTTACTTCTAGTTGTGGAGTTTGTTCTGCTAGTCTTCAGATCAATTTCCAGAGTATTTAGGATGGTTTGATAGTTATCTAGTGTATTTGTGAGATGAGGTGAGCCTAGGGTCTTCCTACTCTACCGCCATCTTCTCCAATCACTCCTCATCTTTTTCAACTGAAGACCACCACTTACTAAGCATCTATTGTCTACCAGACACTGAAATACAAAAATGAATTAAGACCTCTGCCCTGAAGAGTTTGCAGTCTACAGGGAGAGAGCCATGTAAAGCTCCTTGATAACATGCTATGATTGGAGGCCCAGAAGTGGAGTTGATGCAGCCTGGGGGAAGCCTGGGAAAGCCTCTGGAGGATGTGATACTCAGCTAAGAAGACGAGGAGGAGATTGCGAGCAAGATTGACGGTGGAGGGTGGTGTTGGTGAAGGCAGAGAGAACAACAGGAGCAAAGATCTTGACTGCTAGAAATGAGGAAATAGCATGGTGTCTCCCAGGAGCTATAGCAGTTCTATAAGACCGAAACAGAAAGTGTGAGGCACAGAATGGTAGCAGACAAGATGAGAGAAATGGATGTATTCTCATTATTAGGTATTTATGCCTGATAGTAATGGAAATTTTTTTCTACTTATCTACCTCCATTTTAGGGATTGGACATGAGAAATCTCTGGAAATGCAACTTCAGTTTTATGTGACGTTATTTGTTTAGAGACTCCTTCCTCTGCAGTTTCCTCATGAGTTCAGTTTCCTCTACCGTAATGATGGGTTTCTGTATATGGTAGCCACAGGGCAGGAGTCCTGCTGACTCTCTTATATTTAGGCTTCTAGAACAGGGAGTTTTCCCTAGCTGCCTCAGAGACCTGAACAGGACGCATCCTTTTCTTGTAAAGGATGTTGTGGAGAATAAGCAATTGCTTCTCCATCCTGAAAAACCTGATGCAGTATGGAGCAAGGGGAAGATTCTCACACATACTAAAAGAAATGGCAAAGAGAATTGGTCACCCATGTGGCAAAGCTTATACCATGAAAACTAAGCCCAAAAAGTTCCTATGGAAAGAAGACAGGATCCTGGGCATAAGAAATAAGCTGATAGGATGATATAGTTGTGTTGGGATGTGACTTCAGGGTTGTTTTGTTATTTGTTCATTTATTTTCTCTATTAGCTAACCCTTTTGAATAAGGTTGTTTTGCTCTTGTAATAAAACAATAAAATCTCAAAGTGGGAAGGTCATGCTGGGTATAATACAAAACCAATATAAAAAGAAAAGATTGAAAATTGCAGCTACAAGAAAATGAAAATTTTCTGCTTGGTAAGAAATGACAAACTGGAAAGAATATCACAGAGAAAGGGCTGATGTCCTTACAATATAAGGAGTCCCTACAAATCAACATGAAAAAAATCAACAACCTAGTATCTGCTGGCCAGACAGAAGATATAGAGGACTATGATTCTGTAGGAGCCGGGAGTCACTAGACGGAGGGATCTTAGGTTTCTGAATCACTATGTGGAAATCCACCTGCTGAACACACAAATAGATTGTATTTGAACTTATATTAAAGTCCTGATACTTTGGGGTTTGTATACACTAGCTAGAGTTACTCTAATAAAAGCCTTTCAAATGTTTAATAACTTTGTTTTTCTATGTTTGTATCTTTGGTTCATTTTTCTATTAGGTTTTTTTATTTTTGCCCATTTTTATATTAGGTTGTTGATGAAGGTTGCTCTTGAGAAGCTTTCATAGGCCAGGTTTAAAAGTGACATTCACCTCTACTTCCAGCCACACTCCCCTGTCAGAACTCAATCGTTTGGCCACAACTATTGCCAGGGAGCCTGGGAAATATAATCTAGATGTGTGCCCAGGAAGAAAATTAAATGAATTTGATGCACATCCAGCCAGTGTACCACAATGTTTCACCTTTCTCATATTAAGAGAAATGTAAATTAAATTAAAACTGCAACTGTAGGGGCACCTGGGTGGCTCAGTTGTTAAGCGTCTGCCTTCGGCCCAGGTCATGATCCCAGGGTGCTGGGATCGAGCCCTGCATCGGGCTCCCTGCTGTGCGGGAGGCCTGCTTCTCCCTCTCCCACTCCCCTTGCTTGTGTTCCCTCTCTCGCTATGTCTCTCTCTTGCTGTCAAATAGATAAATAAAAAATCTTAAAAAAAAAAAAAACTACAACTATATACCATTTTCTTTCTACCAGATTGGCAAAGATAAAAATTTTGGTAACATAGTGTAAGGAATCCACTCCCATACAAGAAGGGGGTCGAAGGGAAGGTTGGTACATCCTCTATGGAGGGCAATTTGTCCAAGCCTATCAAAATTTTAAATGCACATACTCATGACTCATCATATATAAATGTTTATACTTACATAAAGAATCTCGGGAAAACTAAACAAGAAATTGACAATAGCAGCTGTCTTGAGGGGCGTGCGACGGCTGGGATGGAAGAGTAGGCGGTGACTTATTTCGCACTGTATACGATTTTCTTTCTTTCCAATTTCACCATGGGCTTGTGTTATCTGTTCAAAAAAATAATTGTTTAAAAAATAGGAAGTCGTGTTCATTCATCAAATACCTACTGATGTACCAGCCATCTTTCTAAACACTAGGACACAGCACTAAGCAAGACAGAGTCCCTGCCCTGATCATGTTTAACTTAGCCCCTGGATTCTCAACTTTCCAATTGATCTTATTTCTCTATACTCAAATTGATAAAGTTTTTCCTTCCAAAATTACCGAATGTCTCCTGATATTCTTGGTTCTCATCCCTTCCATGTTAATAGATAATGAAGTTCTATCCCTGTGACCTTGGCTCCTGCCCTCAGGGTCACCTCCCCTCTGCCCCAGCACTGTAGTCGCACCACACCTTTGCTCTTGCTGCTCCTTCAGCCTGGCAGGCCTGGGCAGCCCCTCTAGTCCCCCAGGTGGCGGCCAGGACACCACCTGCTCCTGTTGCTTTCTCCAGGCTCCTGAACTAGAATGACTCACTCCCGCGGGCATTTCGAGTGTAACTTGCTCGCTCACTTCGTATGCATGCTTGACTCTCCCAATCTACATAAGGTCCTGGGGATAGGGACCGTTTCGGATTTCTCTCTTGCTTTTTTCTCAACCTCTTGTGCCTCGTCAGTGCCTTACTGGCCCGATCATTTCCCCTCCCAGCATTGGCTGATGGTTCCGCATTTGTGTTTTTCAGATGCATACCCAAACCACAAGTCTGCCTGACAACTTTTGATAAATTTGGATGTAGCCAATATGAGTGTTTGCCAAGACAGCTCACCTGTGACCAGGTTCGCGATCCTGTTTGTGACACAAACCACATGGAACACGGCAATCTCTGCACTTTGTACCAGAGGGGGCAAAGCCTCTTATACAAAGGCCCTTGCCAGGTACAGTTGTTTGGCTGACAAACCCAAGCATAAAATTAGTTTATGATCTTTTACAGATGAAGCAGCAGTAAGACCACTTGGGGGTCTTCTGTGAATCCTATCAAATCTAGAGAATTAAAATGAGCCATCCCAAGACTGGTTTTTTCTCCTAACTCTGGAGGGCCCTCCTGCTTGTGTTGGTACCTTTGGCATCTAGTGGACAAGCAAGAACAGAGTGGCCTCCTGCCACTCACCATTAGGAAAAGAATGTAAAGTTACACACTCCTGGGATGCATCAGTACCGGTTTCACTTCCCCTTCTGTGGCCGTCATTAGCAAATGGCCCAGGAGAATGCGAGTTAAAGCCACCAAGAAGAGTCCTTTTCCACTCTTTCCACCAAAGTCCCACTCGTAGAAGAGTGAGTGAAAATTTCTCGAAGACTTAATGTCTTTTTACATCAGTTTATCTCTCAGCCTTTTACGGTTCATGTCAAAAAAAATACCCCCAAGGACAACCCCACAAGCACCACTGCAGCCCCCCTCCCCCGCCCCCAGCCAGCTAACACCTGACATGATTGCTTCTCATTTCCTGGTCTTCACTGGCAGGAGAATGCCTTCAGCGTGTCTCCCGAGGTCTGTCTTCCCTCAGAGCTTGTGTTCCAAGTGCACTGATACCGTCTACTCTGAGTTCCCAGTCTTCTCTTCCTATTTCTTCCCTCTTACTGGCTACGAGTTTTGTCTTACTTACCCTAACCTACTTCATGGGTCCTGAGTCTCCACCGCACTGATCTCTCTACTCTTTCCTCTACTTATGCCTACCCAGCATGAAATGATAAGGCTTCTGAATTTGCATGGAGATTGATCTTGTTTTCATCAAACAGGTAGGTAGTTCTGGAATGATAGAAGTCTGGGGTGGAAGGGGGCAATATCTTCTCTCAGTTCCCATGGAATGAGCACCCACGTCCCAGAGAGGCTCAGCAAAGTAATCGTTTCAGTTCATCTTGGGACAGCCCTATTGACCCCACCCCCAACCCAAAGTTTAGCTGACCTTAGGAGCTTAATTAAGAGGGTCCACGAATTTATACCTGTGTCTTTTTTCCTTTCTATTCTATACTCTTGGTTAGAAAAAATGTACCAAAGGTTCATAGGCTAAATGTGCTTTGTTTGTCATCAGCCTTTCTGCAGAGCCACAGAGCCCATCTGTGGGCACAATGGGGAGACGTACAGTAGTGTGTGTGCTGCTTACTCAGATCGCGTAGCAGTTGATTACCACGGGCCCTGCCAGGCTGTGGGGGCCCTCTCAGAGTACAGTTCTGTCACTGAGTGTGCTGCAGTAAAGTGTCCTTCGCTCTCTGCGACTGAGTGCAAACCGATCATCCCGCCAGGTAGGCTGGCAGTATTTGGGGTGGGATTGGGAAGACTTCCTTATCTACCTCCAGGGAGTGAGTCACTCAGAAAGAGAGTTGACTCATTCACTTAGATTTTTCAAAAAGTCTTGGCTTGGGGCACCTGGGTGGCTCCGTCAGGTAAGCATCCAACTCTTGATTTTGGCTCAGGTCATAATCTGCGGGTCGTGAGACTGAGCCCTGCGTCAGGCTCCGTGCCCAGCAGGAGTCTACTTGAGATTCTCTTTCACCTTCTCCTTCTGCCCTTCCCCTGCTCATGATCTCTCTTTCTTTCTAAATAAATAAGTAAGATCTTAAAAAAACTTTTGGCTCTACCTGATGCTGATTAGTTGCATTACTCTGGTTCCACCTTAAAAAGCTATAGATTACCTTAGACATCATCTTGTCGATTGGATTTATTTATTTTTTTAAGATTTTATTTATTTATTTGACAGAGAGAGACACAGTGAGAGAAGGAACACAAGCAGGGGGAGTGGGAGAGGGAGAAGCAGGCTTCCCACCGAGCAAGGAGCCCGATGTGGGGCTTGATCCCAGGACCCTGGGATCATGACCTGAGCCGAAGGCAGACGCTTAACGACTGAGCCACCCAGGCGCCCCTTGTCAATTGGATTTAAAACAATATAGCAGGGGGCGCCTGGGTGGCTCAGTTGGTTAAGCGACTGTTTTCGGCTCAGGTCATGATCCTGGAGTCCCGGGATCGAGTCCCACATCGGGCTCCCTGCTCGGCAGGGAGTCTGCTTCTCCCTCTGACCCTCTTCCCTCTCGTGCTCTCTATCTCTCATTCTCTCTCTCAAATAAATAAATAAAATCTTTAAAAAAAAAAACAACAATATAGCAGGGATGCCTGGCTGGCTCAGTCAAAAGAGCATGCAACTCTTGATCTCAGATTTGTGAGTCTGAGCCCCACATTGGGTGTAGAGATTACTTAAAAATAAATCCACCTAAATAAATAAATAAAACAATATGGCAAACTTTTTCAGGCAAAATCCCACCAAACACCAATATATAAATAGATAAAGCAATATTTTGTTACCAAAATTATGGTTATTAGTTCAAATGCATAAAGTTTACTCATTATAAAGTTAATAAACAAAGAATTAGTAATTAATAAATAAGTAATGAATGAATGAATGAATGAATGAAGTACTTTTGAGGAACACAAACATCTGAAATTGAGAGAAACATAAGATAGTGGTCTTAGATTGGCCTTAGCATCTAGTTGCATATAATCAAGAAAGTCTTGTTTCATACAGACTCTTATAAGTAGTAACAGTTTTCTTTTTTTTTAAGGTTTTTTTTTTTTTAAGATTTTATTTATTTGACAGAGAGTACAAGCAAGGGGAGAGGCCGGGAGAGGGAGAAGCAGGCTCCCACTGAGCAGAGAACCTGACGTGGGGCTCGATCCCAGAACCCTGGGATCATGACCTGAGCCGAAGGCAGATGCTTAACCACCTGAGCCACCCAGGCACCCCAGTAGTAACAGTTTTCTTAAACTACTTACCTTAGAGTGCTGTACTTTTCAGTTAAACAGAGGTAGCAGAAAAGACTTTATCCCACTTCTGCACAGAACAGGTTATCTGGAATCTGACAAGTTCATTCCTCCATCCCTGGATTCATAAAATGTTTCTTGAGCTTCTACTGTGTGCCAGAGACTCTTCTAGGCACTGGGGCACAGCAGTGAGCAAAACAAAGCCTCTTTCCTCCTGGAGACCATGTTCTCATATTTTGTTACCATTTTTTAACAGCTTAAATATAATTTTTATAATTAAATTTTAATCAAACACTCACAGGATCCCTAAAACATCTGTTCCCTTGTTTTGCAGACAGGAAATCAAAGGCCCAGGAAAGCACTTGCCTAGGATCACAGTGAGTTTTGAGGCAGGGCAGGGTCCAGGCCCCACATCTCTTGAAAGGCGATCTCTTCTCTGCTATCTTAGACCATCACACGTCACCCTGAGAAAGTGGTAAAGGATGAAAGCAGGGGTGGAGGAAGTATTTGGGTAAACGTATAGATAATAAGATCCCAGTTGGTCAGGGAACATACCTAAAAGTACCGTCATCAGGGAGGACAGCTACAACTCTCCTAACACAAAATGAAGGGTTGGCTATTTCACCGACTATTTTGAATTCTCATTTTCTAATTCTGAACACACATAAAATGGTTTCTGTTATACAGGTGCTTGTTGCCCATTATGTGCTGGAATGTTAAGAGTTTTATTTGACAAAGAAAAACTGGATACTATTGCAAAGGTAAATTGCTTTATGTGCCAGGTACTGTTGAAACCTCATTGATAAACCTCTCAGTAATCCTATAGAGTAGAATGTGTTGTCCCATTTATAGAGGAAGAAAGTAATTCACAGAAAAGCATAACTAGTGGAACTAGGATTTGAGCACAGGCTGTCTGGCCCCCAATCCTGTGTTCCTTTCCTCTACACCTACACCAAACACCTCTAGAGCTGTTTGGTGACCTTGCTGTGCACAACACAGCCTGAGCCTGCCCTACAAAAGGTCCCCTGCTTGCAGAGTATGTAGAGTTAGAGCTCGAGGCAGAACCAAGCAGCCAGAGACTGGTAGTTGCCCAGATGGTTTCAAGGCGGCCTGCCCTCACAGTCCCCATTCCTCCAGGGGGGGTGCTTCCAGAACTTGCCACCTTCCCATGGCCGCTTTGCTCCTTTCCCTTTGATGTACCATCACTTCTGCTCCACTTCTGTGGACACAGGGTTCCAGAAATGTAGCAGCCAACACCTGTCACTACCTAGAAAAGTATCCCCGTTTGGATTCAAATACGTGTATTTTTATAGGAAGACTTTAATCATTTTCCTGTGGCTCCCAACTCAGAACAGTCCCTTAAAAGGGAGTGGGGGGCTTTGGGTGAGTGTTTATCTTGGCTACAAAGCTCAGCAGTAAGACAAAAGCCCTTTGGAAAGGACTCTGGAGATTTAGAATTCAGCCAGCAGGGCCCCTTTTGGGGCCCCACACTTAGGGTTCCAATAGGCAAGGTAACAAGGCAGCCTAGGCAGTAATAAGGAATTCCTCTTTTATTCAGGTAATGGAATTTTTTTTCTCTTCCCAGGTAACAAACAAAAAGCCAATAACAGTTCTGGAAATACTTCAGAAAATCCGCATGCATGTATCTGTCCCGCAGTGTGACGTATTTGGATACTTCAGCATTGAATCCGAAATTGTAATCCTGATCATTCCTGTTGATCATTATCCAAAAGCTTTGCAGGTGGGGTTCAGCACGCATTGTGCAGGCTTCTTGTTTGGAGGACTTAGGAGGGGGTAGGAAATGGAGGCATTTGGAAAGCTAGGGCAGGAGGGAGAAAAGCAAGGCAGTCTCAGAAGGACAGAGCTGTACCAGGTGAGCATTTTCCAGGTGACTGAGGCGGGGCACATATCTGACAGCAGAATGTGAAGGAGTGGGAGAGTGGAGAGGCTGAGAGGTTGCTCAGTATGCAGACATGGAAGGTATCTGCTTACATACAGATGAGGCAGTTGAGGCCCAGGGAGGGAAGGGGCTGACACAGGTCATGCAGTGACACAGCCGGAGTAGATACCTGTCCCCTTGGGACAGGGGACGAGAAGATACCTGTCCCCTGCTCCCAGTGGGGAGGAGAAGCCCACTGGGACTGGTCTTATGGACCCCATTTTTCTTCCTCATACTCTAGAGGTGAGTCTCACTCCTGTGGGCCCAAGTGTCAGTATCAAAACAGTGGGGGCTCAAGTCAAGGGTGAATACAAGCGGTTTGTACACTGCCACAGTCAGGAAGCTGAGGAAAGCCCCTTGCTCTCCTCTGGGATGGGGAAGGAAGCACTGAAAGTCCATTGTGTCTAACTGTGGGAAGGTAATGTCTAAATGTGGCTAAGTGGTAAGGGCAGTGGCATTATGCATCATTTCTTTTCTGATTTAATTTCCATCGATGCTGTTACTATTGGTGTAATAAAGTAAGACTATACTAAAATGTGACTTTGGCTAAAAAAGGACAGAGAAAGCACATTCTCTGTTAGAATATATGTGGATTGTGTCTGACTTGCCCATTTCACAGATCCTGTGGTTGTAGACTTTAAAAATCTGATTCTCCTCTCCCAGATTGAGGCCTGCAATAAAGAAGCAGAGAAGATCGAATCCCTCATCAACTCCGACAGCCCCACGCTGGCGTCCCACGTCCCTCTGTCTGCCCTCATCATTTCCCAGGTACAGGTCTCGAGCAGTGTGCCATCAGCCGGCATCGAGGCCAGAGCCCCCTGCCCCTCCTGCCTCGTCCTCCTCAGCCTGGGCCCTGCCTTGCACATGGTCTGGACACATAACTGACCGCCCGTGAGAAGTGCAAAATGTTGTGAAAGACATGCAGGACCCCTGGTTTGTAGTTGAATAGTGGCCAAGGAGAAGCACTTGTCACCTCTGTTCACCACACAGTATTTTTTTTAATCTGCCAATATTAGGGTTTTTGTTTTGTTCTTACAAATGTTAAAATATGTTCTTCCAAATACTAATGAAAAGAGGACGTCTCCTTTTGGTGGATCACTGCCTTACAGTTTATACTTTGCTTATTAGATGGGTTCCCCCCCACACTGTAAAACAAATTTGATATCATTGGTAAGTGGGATGATCACTTTTTAGAAAGGAACTCACTTTACTATAAGCTTCATACCCAGAAATTTCATTTCAGAGTTCCTTTAAGTATTAAGGTGCCCCTAGTGTGTGTGTGTTTGTTTACAGATAATTACCTACTCTGTCTAGAAGCTAGGGGTCACCGTGAAGAGCCTGCTATTAGAGTGTGAAATAAAGATAATGCATCTTTGAAATTATCATATAAATCATCAGGCAAATTTAATTTACAGAAATTTAATTCAAGAACCCATCTATTGTGTTCAGCAAAGCCAGCTAAGGAAATGGCATTTACGAGATACATTGTAAGCAATAGGCTCAGTGGTTACTAATGTGTGTATGACTTTTGCGAAGGAGAGAAGTTATATCACATCAAAACATATTGCATTATGCATTTTTATATTAACCAGATGTATATTCTTCGGTATTCATCCGAGTTAAACTTAGAGTTTCTAAATATCAATCTTTAAACCAATTGCTGCTACTTATATACTTGCCAAAAAGTGAAATAATTAGTAGTTCATGTAAATAATACATGATATTTCTATTTTATTATGAAGAAGGTAAATAGCCATATTTGTAAAATGACAATCATGTGTGTTAACCCAGTACTTTCCGTTCATGAAGACACATTGCTTTTTGTGATATGCACAGTGTGGGTAAGTGTTCTGTCTGACTTTCTTTTTTGATATAGAATTATAAAGAATTGTGGTTTATATATTTAAAAATGTCAATCTAAGTATTAAAGTGTTTGCATGTTGTCTAAGCAATTGAATACTTTGAATGTGTTTCACAGTTTGAAATAAGCTATTCAATGTAATGCTTCTTGTTTGTATGCACCTAAACTTAGATGTTACATGAAGTACTTTTTTCAGTATTATATGTACCCTTTGAAATATATAGGGATATGCTCATTATACCAAAATATTGTTTAAAAGTGGGCACTTAAAGCTTTCAGAATATCTCAGTGCTGATGTAGCATGTTTGTTGCAATTGCTTTTTCTATATAAATGTCTTCAATGCAATATACTGGAAAGCTTTTCTATTTTAATAAAAATAATTTTATATGATTATGTGTACTTCCAAGCAGTGTGGACATTTAAAATGAAACCACTGACCACTCTTGGGTAAGCTATGTCCTTTGCTCTAGAAGAAGAAATTATGGGAGTTTTATTATTCCAAGCCAAGGGCCCCGGGAGAACGGGGCAGCTGGGACGGAGCTGGTCAGACCAGACCGAGGCTTCACCAGAGGGCATGCTGTGGCAGGAAGTCAAGTAGAAAGACCCCAGCTTTAGGCCCTCCAAGACCCAGCAACAGTCAAGGCAGTCCTATTCCGCACTGCCCTGGGCCCAGTGTTGCAGCTCCACGGTACATCCTGAGACAGAGAGAACTCTGGGCTGTGGAGACAGAGGGCCTATTGATTAGAGCCTGACAGGATCTATCAGTCATGAGGCTAAGGCCCCAAACCTCCATGGCTGACAACAACAGAGGCTCACATTTTACTTCCATCACGTGTTTATACTGTGGGTCAGCAGCACTTCTGCTTTACACCGTCTTCACTCCAGGACCCCTTCCGGTGTCCTCACAGAGTGGGAGGAAAGAGGCTGGAGCTCTGAGGGAGCTGCTCGGAGCTTGCTCTTGGGCTGCTGGTCCTAGCAGGGTCAACAGCACAGGTGCTGCTAAGGCCCAGGCTGACAATGGACACCTGCCAGGTTCCTGGATAGGCCGCTGAGGTCACCACTTCCGCCACCACGGATTCACATCCAGCTGTGGCAGATTCCTGTGCAGGAACTAGGAGACCCATTGGTGCTTTACCTGGAGGCATGGCTGACTGACTCAATCTTCAGCGCAGACACCAAGTCGTAATTCTGAAAATGGAGCGCATGAGCCAGGTCCTGCCGACAGAGGACATAGTTCACTCTGGAGACTTAGCTGAAATCACCATCTTCGGTCAGCCCTGTGTACAAAATCAGGTGGAGAGCATACCCCTGAGCCCGGCATGGTGGCACGAGGAACATCGTGCCCGAGATACGCATGTGCACAGAGGAAAGACCATGTGAGGACAAAGCAAGATGGAAGCCATCTGCAAGCTAAGGAGAGAGGCCTCAGAAGAAACCAACCCTGCTGACACCTTGATCGTGGACTTCCAGCCTTCAGATCTTTGAGAAAATAAATATCTATTGTTTAAACCAAAAAACAAAACAACAACCAAAGGAGGAGAAGAGACAAGAACCACAGCTGTCCCTTAGGTCTCTGCTTAGAAGTGACTCTGTTATTTCTGCTTCCATCTTACTGGCCCAAGCAACTCACATGGCCACTCCTGAGTTCAAAAGGTAGGGAGGTATAATCTTCTGGGGTGGGTGTGTGTGTTGGGGGGAGGCAGCAAGGATGGAGCTGGGGGAGGGACCATGAGTATTTGGGACAATAATAAAGTCCACCATGGAAGTCATTTCTCATCAGGATAGCCAGGACGGACAAAAATTTTTTATTAGAAAATTAGTAGAAGTTTCATAGTCTGGGAAGGAACTAGAGAAATGAGAGAGGACAATGACTGTACAGACTACAGTTAGATTACCTACTCCTGTTTTGTACAGGCAAACCATAACTAACCGCTGTGCCACTCAGATCTTAGTTGACAGACCTTCTTACCAGAAACAAATGTCCCAAAGCTTGTATTGAAGATGTCCTAGGGACTGTGACTGATGCCGATAGTGACACCATGCCAAGCTCACCAACTCACTGAGAAGTGAGCTGATGCTGGAGGAGGATGTGGGATTGAAGTTTTAAAATAACCCGGGAAGAGGCCTGAGAAATGGAATGAGGCTGTTTGGATAACTGGAGGTAATACTGATGATATGGAGGCAGACAATGTTGATACGGAGTTCTACTACCTCGCTGCAGACAGGGGTCCACCTAGCACAGCTGAAGGCAGTTCCTAGAAAAGTGAAACTGTTTTCATGTTTACACCCTAACAAGCGGAGCCTGCCAAAGACTGGTTTTTATCTTGAGGCAAATGCTGTCGGTAACCTTTGCCTTCTTACTTGCCTTCCTGGACTTTGACTCGGCTTGGGCAGCAGAGTGTACAGACCCCGACCAGCCATCTCTAGTCATGCATAAGTGAACCCACTTAGTTTAAACTTGTGTTGTTCAAGGTCAACTGTATTTGCTTCATAGAGAGGCTGTGAGAATTGCATGAGATAAACAGGCTGAGGCTAAACCCTGAGAATGGAAGCCAGGCCCAGGGGAAGCCTGGCACCTGGCCTGGCTGTTAATGTCTCCTCAGCAGAGTCCAGGATGTTCACAGGACAGAGGGAGAGGAAGCACCGCCTTATAACGAGATCAGGGGATGATCTCAAATCAAAGGTCTCTCATGCACACCAGAGCTATCCAGGTTAGTCAGAAGAACCGAGAGGGCAAGGGCAGAGGCTCTGGATGCCATTCAAGGCCAGCACATCTCATCTGCTCGATACCTCCCCTTCCTAACTTGTCAGCTCCACTCTTCTGTTACTGGGACCCACCTTTCTCATACTGTACCTTTTACCAAGAATGCATCTCCTAAAGTCATCTGGCAAAGCCTTCCTTCTGTCTCCTCCTTTCTCTCCTCCTCCTAACTAGACAGTCTAGTGTGCCTTGGGAGGAGTTAGGAGGAGGAGACAGAAGGTTTCTTGGAGAGGGTTTGATTTGAGCTGGGCCAGAAACAGGAAGGCTTTGCCAGATGACTTTAGGAGATGCATTCTTGGTAAAAGGTACAGTATGAGAAAGATACAGAAGCAGGAGAGTCCGCGTGTAATATTATTTTTTAAAGATTATTTATTTGTCAGAGAGCGAGAGAGCACAAAAGCAAGGGGAGCGGAAGGCAGAGGGAGAAGCAGGCTCCCCGCTGAGCAAGGAGCTTGATGTGGGGCTCGATCCCAGGACCCTGGGATCATGACCTGAACCGAAGGCAGGCCTTAACCAACTGAGCCACCCACGTATCCCAAACTGTAATATTATTAACACCCTTTATAGTTGATGCAACTAAGCCTGAGATTAAAGAATTTCTCCAAGGTCACATGGCTAGTAAGTAGCAGAGCAGGGACATTTTGAACCCAGGCCTAACTTAAAGCTTATGCTCATATTTATTATACTGTGTATTTCCCTTTAAGTACAGCTTTGGCCCATCCCATATATTTTCTAACAACAGTAAGAAAGAGAGTATAACAGGATAAAATAAGGAGATTTTCTGCCAAGGTTTTTAATTTCTAGTTGCCATGGCTTTCTACCCATTGAGCTACTACAGTGAATTTTTTGTTCTAAAAACCTCTGCAGAACAAGAGCCAAAGCCTGAAGGGCTTAAAGCATAGTTTGAATCTTAAACTATGGGAAGACTTTATAACGATGTAAGAGCTTAGACTGAGAAGGGCTGAGTCATGGGATGCAGCACATTCTGGGGAAACAGATTTTAGGACAAAAAAAAAAATGCCTTTTTCTGAAAAGGGAGATCTGGTCGACATTTGCTGGGTTTAGGCTGCTCAGCTTGTGGAGAAGTCTCTATTTGAGTGTAAAAGATCTTGTACCCAACTATGGAGGCTGCAAGGGGGTAGACATTGATTTCTCTATTGGAAATCTGAAAGCTTGTATGCAGGCATGTGACCCTGGCTCCACCAGATGCTCCTGCCCAGGAAGCTGAGTCTGGAGAAGGTGACCCAGAAATGTGGAGAGAGTCAGGAAAGATTCTGGATTGCTTGAGTATTAATCCCCAAGAGACTACAGTACTTGTGACTGAGTTACCTTCAGTGTTCAAGTGTGCGTTTTCTGCCATCAGTAGAATTTGGATTTGATCTAGACAGGGAAAGAATTCCCTTTTTACATATCTAAATTGTGATTGGGAAATGTTAAGTGCACAGTGTAAACAGTGACACTTAAAGACTGCTAAGTGTCATCTCATTTAATTGGAAAAAAAAAACCCTCTAAGATAGGTATTACTATCTTTATATCAACACCTGGATCAGAATCACAGTCAGCGGGGAGCAGAGCCAGAACTTGGATGAGAGCCACATGACTTCATGTCCATGCCCCACACTCTTAAACATTACAGTTAGTATTCTTTTTTTTTTTTTAAAGATTTTGTTTATTTATTTGACACAGTGAGAGAGGGAAGGAACACAAGCAGGGTGGAGTGGGAGAGGGAGAAGCAGAGTTCCTGCTGAGCAGGGAGCCCGATGTGGGGCTCGATCCCAGGACCCTGGGATCATGACCTGAGCCAAAGGCAGATGCTTACCGACTGAGCCACCCAGGCGCCCCTACAGTTAGTATTCTAATTCTCATTCATCTCTGAACATCTGCTTTGATTTTGCCTTTCAGTGCACTAGGAGGGATTTTTAAAAAATGTATAAATCGTTCAAAATTTTTCAATTAGCCTTTTGTTACTAAGTTTTAGTTTTATTACATTGTGCTCAGAAATTTTAAATGGTTCTACTTTCAGGAATTTATTATGGTTTACTTTAAGGACTACTATTGGGGTCAACTTTTGTATTCCCTAGAAATTTGAAAATAAAGTTATCAAGTTTAAGTGGTCTTAACACAAATTAAAAGGCAGATATTGTCAGACTGGATAAAAAGAAAGATCCAGCTACATCTTGTCAACTACAGCTGTCCATTTTTAATGTAATGAAACAGTTTGATTAGACGTTAAAGGGTGAAGTAGTGGTAAACATTTCTATAGTGCTTATTCTGTGTCAGCAACGGTTCTGGGGTGCCTGGGTGGCACAGTCGATTGAGCATCCGACTCTTGGTTTTGGCACAGGTCATCATCTCAGCGCCCTGATCTCAGGGTCATGAGATCGAGCCCTGTCGGGCTCCACGGTCAGTATGGAGTCCACTTAAGTTTCTCTCTCCCTCTGTCCCCCACCCATGACTCTTGTGCATGTGCTCTCTCTCTCTCTCTCTCTCAAATAAATAAATAAATCTTTAAAAAAAAAAAGAACTATTCTAAGCACTTTACATTTCCTAGCTCATTTATCTTCACAATCATTGTATGAGGGAGGTACTATTACTATTACCATTTTACAGAGGAGAAAACTAAGTCAGGT